ACCACAGAATAAGTAATAGTACAGGTACAGAAGGATTACTCCGCAAGACGATTTAAATAAATGCGAGTCTTGCTACGACGCGATACAGTGGAATTCAGCTCGCACAGCACTACGTACCTACAATTTTATTCACCTACAAGTTTTGTCTCTTTCTATCGCGTGCCTCTGAACTCTTCTTACGCTGCTAGGGTTGCTATGCTGAGTAATGAGGTACGTATGTAGGTAAGTATTATGTGCCTTAATAAAACACAGCGTTCTGTTGAGAGAGCTGTCTATGATCTTTGCCTTATTTTAGTCTATGGTATAAGAAAACTTACCAATTGTCTCTGCTTTATCATCTAGTTTACCTTCTTCATACACCAGCTGGCACCACTTTCTATGGAAATTGGTGATCTGTCAACTTGACATTTCATAGCGTTTGTGATTTTTGCCGCCTACACAGCAAAAATTTTTATCTTCTTGTTTTAAGTATAAAATAAGAATAAAACACAGTTAAAATGTGCAAATAGGAAATATAAGTGATGCAGAGTGTAAGGGTAAAGAGTGGTGACGGTGAAAGGTTGACTTCTGTCGGCCCGGATGAAGGAAAAGCTCGAAATCCGAGTCGTCTTTTTCAGATTCATCCTCATCATCCTCGGAAATGGAAATGTTTGCTTCACCACCTCCAAATAGGCGACGGAGGCCATGTAAGTGTTAACCCCACTCGTAAGACACTCGGTCGAAACTTTGACGACTCAGATGAATGTTATTTCCAACTTTGTTGCGCACCACTTACCTTCTACATCAAGCCTACTAGATGGTAATAGCTTGCAAAGTAGTATTCAGTTCCTCTAAAGAACGATTTCAGTTACTTCGTTATCGTAAAGTGAAGTTAAGATCAATCATAAGGAAGATAGAATATTACTTTTCCTTTTCCTGCTGACTGAGCGAATTATTAATGAGATAAATTGCAGCATTTTGGCTACCTTATAGCGGGTTAAAGGCAGCTAGTTGAACATTCTGTTGTAAAAATAACATTTTAAATATACCTACTTAGGATAAAAAAGTACTTATTTTAATACAATGTCTTCATTCATACCTATTTTAACATAAGACAAATAAATTAAACATACCTACTATCACAGAAGAAAGAATGACATCATACCTACCTACTTACTACGCAAATACGAAACGGCTACATCATAGAACGAGAGGCATCACCCGAAAATCATATTTGTATTTGGCTTTGCACAAACTTAATCTAATGTTACTCGCTGTACTTTGGCAACAATTTATTTTTTACTGAATATTGTTGGGGTACCTATGCATTATGGTAAAAGAACTAGCTTGTCGTAATTTGGTGTATCGATGTTACTCTTCCGTTTCATTTACCTACACGGAAAGGTAATAGTTAATATTTTAACGATAAAATTCTTAAAACATCATAAATTGTATTCAAAAGAAATTATTTATTAAAGGCAAAACATCAAGTCCCGACGGGCGTGCGCGTGACACTCGACTGATATAATACCCGCCGGCGGGGCGCTCCGCTGTAGGTAATTATCGGATGTACCGCGCGGAGTGAGCCAGGCCTGATTGGACACAAAAGGGTGAAATAGGGATGTTAATGATTAAATCGGTCATGGTCAATCACCTCCCCTGTTGTACCTTGAAACGATTTCCGATCAAGACAGTGAAGCCACGGTAATAATATCATACAGTATTGTAACATCATATAAACCACAGATATGGATTAGAGTAGATACAGCAAGTTGCTCGTCAAAGCGTGCCAATCCGATATGTCCAAATGGACATACATGGTCGAGTGATGTTCATCTAATCCGATTACAACAATCGGTTACGATGATTTTACGAGGACAGTAGTACGAACACGGTAGGAAGAAGAAATTATTTACGGATTGAGAATTATAATTAACAGCACAAGTAACAAATAAATCAATAAGTTAGGTCAGTGATCGCAGTACACGTCTATGTATACGACGGTACTGGATTTTGTCGTTAAGAATATCTTCAAAACTAGGCACCTGACTCAGTTTAATGAAAGAAAACGTATTGGCAAAACTACGCATTCTTACATTTATTAAAAATAAAAAGCTTGAGTTAGTCTTTATTTTATGAAACTAGGTCAGGTACTAGGATATTTAAAAGTTTGAAATTATGTAGGTATGAATTACTAGTAGTATTATTTAACACATACAGCAAGTTGCTCGTCAAAGCGTGCCAATCCGATATGTCCAAATGGACATACATGGTCGAGTGATGTTCATCTAATCCGATTACAACAATCGGTTACGATGATTTTACGAGGACAGTAGTACGAACACGGTAGAAAGAAGAAATTATTTACGGATTGAGAATTATAATTAACAGCACAAGTAACAAATAAATCAATAAGTTAGGTCAGTGATCGCAGTACACGTCTATGTATACGACGGTACTGGATTTTGTCGTTAAGAATATCTTCAAAACTAGGCACCTGACTCAGTTTAATGAAAGAAAACGTATTGGCAAAACTACGCATTCTTACATTTATTAAAAATAAAAAGCTTGAGTTAGTCTTTATTTTATGAAACTAGGTCAGGTACTAGGATATTTAAAAGTTTGAAATTATGTAGGTATGAATTACTAGTAGTATTATTTAACACTTACATTTATTAAAAATAAAAAGCTTGAGTTAGTCTTTATTTTATGAAACTAGGTCAGGTACTAGGATATTTAAAAGTTTGAAATTATGTAGGTATGAATTACTAGTAGTATTATTTAACACAATGGAATAACGATCATTACTTTGATAAACATTCAATAAAAATATTATAATTGCAAATTAATAAGAAAATTAATAATATAGAATGACGTTTACCGCTACAAAATTATTTTAATCCACATTCAGACTAGCTACAAATTTAACAAAATATCAGTTTTATCGGAATTAATTAATTATCGAATCGAGTCACACGATATAATTCGATGACTTTGCGTTTGCAGTACGATGATACGATTATTTTTACGTTGCGGCAATCACTAAAATTCGCTAAAATGACACTAATGACGTTTAAAAAGTGGCACGCTCGGCTTCATACAATTTTTGACACATGCTGCATCTATCTTTATCTGTGATATAAACAGACGAAACGAGAACTTTCTTTCGAAATTCAAATCTCGGTATGCGCTCGTTATGCAAAAGTCGGGGGTGTCGCGAATGTGCCGAAAGGACGTCGGTGGCCAAGTGTTAAAAATGACAAAACTGATTGAATTTGTGTGACCGTCATTTACGGTCAAATTGTTGAAAAACTAGTCAAATTGTCATTTTCAGTCAGTTTGATTTGAAATGAAAATTACATTGTATTAAACCAGCTTTTGCCCACGACTTCGCTCGCCCGAAATTAATGTAACAGATCATTATGATTATTAAAGTTTCAAAATTATTTACGTAGTTTTAAATAAATTAAATCTACCTACTAATCACAAAACAACACACATTTTTAACCTATTCCATTCACAAAGTATTTTGTTTGTCTAACTAAATAAAAAAATACAATCACAAAACTAGATAGAAATTCTAAGTAGGCAGATGTAATTAAACTGGGCACTGTAGGTGGGCAGCCCTATCGCATGTTGTCATACTGTGACGTACCGCGCGACTGTTGGCATTTATTTCAAAAATATGGCCGAGTTGGAATACTGTATAGATAGTATTACCGTGGTGAAGCCGTGAAGCTCGCTCGACATCACGGACTCGTTAGGTGGAGACCCTATGTATTACTTTGCTCTATGGTGGAGACTACTGTGTTGACTGTGTCGTATAGTGGTGCCACCACCAAAAGGCCAAAGGTATAGCTAATAAAGCTTAGTGGGTGGACCATTGCAACGAGAGATTATGAGAGCTACTTATCTTATTTTCCCTCATCAGTAGAAGAAACTGTAGAGGTCTTGCCTGTCACTCGCCAGTGAGTGGAGCCAACAGGTGATCGCAAATACGATACTCTTCATAACGAAGTGGTTGCTCAGTGACGGCGGTTGCTATCAAACTTATACAGGGTGTCCCTGTAAGCACAGCACTAATGGACTATGTTCAAACAAAAACAATTGATTCTATTAGAAGACAATTTGTATGAAAAGATTTTGTTTTTTGGATGATTTAAACTTTCTTACTCTTGGGGAAAGTTGATTTGAGCTGTAAAATCAATCCTTTTTTATTGATACCTACAGGGACACCTGTGTAGTGTGTAGGCTAGGGAAACTCATGACAGACAAAGGGAATAAAAAAGTATTAATATTCTTTTAATATTATTTTATTCTGTGACTAAAATGTATTGACTTATTTTACAAAATAACACATAAATTAGTTTTACAATCAGTTTAAAAAATAAATGATGGTCTACTCCGCAAAAGATAAACCGTAGTGTAAACATCAATTAAATATTATCGCTACTAAAATGTACATTCAAACATGTCCCTTACTTGCTGATAGCCTTTTACTCTGACGTCTTTTAACACTTTACCGGACAGTAACCCAGACACAATAGAAGTTTAATTGTTATGACTGCTATAACAGTTCACTGTTCAGAAAAGTGTTATACGTCATAACAGACTCTAACCCGGTATACGCAGTGATTTTCGGAGTAGACTATAGGAATAATAAATAAAAAAAAATCTGACTACAATCATAAAGGTGTGTGGTCTATCAAAAGAAACAATCATAATATTACAGACACTGAGATGTAAAATGGTTAGCATATTATTAACATTATGTTTATACGGCCTATTTAATAACTATATATAAATATAATAATAATATGTATCATTCTAAGTTAAACATATCACATAAAATAACAATAATAAACAAATAAGTTACTTTACTATGGGTTGGAAATCTGTCATAGGTCAATCTTTAAATAACTTTAGTAAATAAAACAGTTGTTAATAATCTATGGCAGTTTCCCATCTTTATCCAAAAGTAATCATATTTTATACCAACATTATTTTATTTTTAAGACTGTTGATACTACGGTGGTAATCACCACTATTAACTAGTAAATACTATGACAGATCCAACACTAGATACTTCCTATCATTTCATATTACGTGCCTGTCTGTTATCATCCATTTCCATCTCCTTACTTCATTACAAATTTCCAAGTTTCCGCCCCCAAGTCAATAATATAAAACCTTGTCCTATTAATATATTTTTAATTATACTATAACATTAATACAAAATACATTTATTGAACGACGATATTACATTTTATTTTAGTCCCTATTAAGATAGTCCTGTAGAAACCGGATAAAAGAAGGATGACATGGACAGTGGTGCACAAAAGGCGTTAAATAAAGGACATTGGGAACTTTAATATGAGAAAATGCCCCACGGTGGACAAAGATGAAACGTATTTTATTTTAAAGATTTATACTTGTAGNAATATAATAAATAATATGCATTTATTTCGTCTTACAAATATTTTAATTAGATAAAAATACTATACATAGACCCTAAATTATATTATCATTATATCCTTTTGCTCATAAACTGCATCATTTGGTTGACACAATATTTTATTTTATCACAATAACTAATTTGTTTATAAATATTACACATTCGAGTAAACCTAGCGAATGTGTACTGTCTGTTTTGATTGTGCTATGTGGCTATCATGGACGACGTGCTGTCACTACTCTGCCGCAACACAGTTTTATTACTAGCGCGGAGGGTAGTTGTCAATCTCGCCTACCAATGTACTACATAAATTTTTAACATGTACCTTATTTAACATCACGATTGTGTTTTGGACAAATAAAGTTATTATTATTATTATTATTATTATTATACTATATTTACTTGTGATTATAATGTGTATCTGATTTTACCTATTTTAAGCTAATTATTATTAAGTTCTAATTGTCTTAACTTAGTCCTGCCTCTTTGAGTAACTGTAAAATTATTATTTTGTCTTTAAAATGCTATATGTATCTGCAATTACTTACCTATACTTACCAAACTAAATGTTTTACATCCCATTTGGATGCTACGGTTTTACCTATATGTTTATATTTGATTTTGGTATCAATAAATAATACGCAACTCCGGGTGCGCGTAGGTAATAATATTGTCGCGCCTAGAACATGCTAGAGCTAGCCGTTAGCGATGCGGCCCGCTGATTGGCCGGAGGCCTCTCGCCTTTTATGGTGAGAAGCTTCTAGCGGCTCACCGCGCCGCACACGCGGCCGAGAGCCGCCAGTCGTGATCCAACAACTTCCGCGAACGCACGTACGCACCCCCGGACGCGCCTTTCGGTTTTTCTTACAAACTGGACTTTCATTTCATTATTCATCTCATCNAGAGACAATGTGAAAAGATCGTTTTCTATATTTTCCCGGCCGGAAATCGAACCCGGGACCTCAGGATTGGCCCGGCACACCTTGAAAACCGGTGTGTGCGCCTCTCCGCCACTGAGGTCGTCAAAAATGTTACTTAAATGTAAAATAAAATAAAATATTAAAACTTCATTTTCTCAATATTCCCATATAAGAGAGAAAAAAAAATGCACGGAAATTCATTGGATATTAGTATGTATCATCTGTGATAGGTTTCGTTTGTGTCCGCTACTTTTCGAAAAGTGGGGCAAAAAGTTCCCAATGTCATTTCTTTAAACTAATTAATTTTACTTTAATCACTAAAGGACATCTGTTAAATAATCCGTAATATTAGGTTTATGTAAATGCAGCAAATAATACTAAAGTGTTAGCGTTAATTTGAAAGTTTATTAAACATTGTAAAATGGTTTTCCAATTGTTAATTTTTTGATAATATACCTAAATAAATCAATATTTGACATTTCATACACATGATAATATTCTTTACGTGGAGACATACATAAATAAAATTACACTTGTATTGAAACAGATTTAACATTCATGACAACTATTACGTAAGAAATCAAATCCAAAATCCTACTACTAGTTTGAATGGCACAATGCATAATTGATACGAAAACCGAAACCAAAATATAAACGTTAATTAAAGATTTATTATTTGAACAAATGAACAATAGATAGTCAATGTATACGATATAACAGACTTAAAAACTTTTATGTTTAATAAAAATAATTTAATAGCTCTAGAATAATTTACTCTCAATCAATAGGGATCCCACCAACATAACTAAAATCCAATATAAATAAGTTTGGCATTTTTGAGGAAACGCGAAAGATATACATTTTTACTTAAAAAGCATCATCTTTCTCTTTCTCTACAATACACAAAATCCTTAATTAACAGGATAATATTGTGTCATAGTCCCATACAGATAATGCAGAGGTATGCCTGTCAGTAGTCTGTAGGTACTGATAAAAACAAAATAAATATAATATACAGGGTGTCACTAATCGCACCACAAGATAATGCCTAACACAAAATACCATAATTGTGTACCTTAAGCTACCTTCAGTATTTTCCACATTCATGAAAAAAGAAAATTTTCCATCATAAAATATGTAAGTAATGTGACCAAAAACATAACTCCATTCATTTTCATGTCATGGTAAAACAATTAAATTCGTTTTGATAACCACACAAGATTTACTGTGTGTAGTATACTTTATAGTACAAGGTTTTAGATCGCCAAAGACTGTAAGTGTTATCGAATTTCAATAAATATACGCCTTCACCTGGATACGTATGGGACCCGGCGTACACCTGAAATGGAAATAAATAACAAGTGTAATCTAACATGCTCTAATACCTACCATATTATAAATAAATGAGAATGAGAAGTGGAAATCCTTGGGGGTGGGGTTTAGATTACAATAAGTTTGGCAAAATCTAGTAAGTTTAACTTACAACAAAAGATAGAATTATACAGGATGTTTCTTATATTGTGTCAATCCATACTCATCGATTGAACCCCTGCATCTAGCAATTTTGGATAGTTTTGTAGTTTGTAGCATTATGGGCCAGCTCAGACATGGTGAGGTGCGGCAAGACGTAAATTACTCGACTAGTGCGAACAAGGCTTAGGCTTAGCGAACCATGTCGCTAGATGTAACAAATGGCACCGAAAAATGTAAGTATACACAGTTTTGACAATAGAAGTATCTATCAAAAAGATGTTAAAGTCCGGTCGCCGAGCAGATAGAATTTCGTCCAATGACCCCAAGCTACCCATCCATATCACTCGCACACTCACTTCAGCTGCCCGTCGCACAATCGCGACAGCAATATAATTGTGCGATTGATAAGGATGGGTAGCTTAGGGTCATTGGACGAAATGAGGGTTTTCGCGAATGAAAGATCCGCTAGATGGCGGGACGGGGATGTGGGGTCTTACTGCTGCTTGATTGGTGGATTTTGACATATCTGTCAATGTCATGTCAAAAATAGCCAATCATGCAGCATTTGGACCTCGCGTCTACGTATTGCCATCTGGCGGATTTTTCATTCGCGAAAACCCTCATTGTATCTGCTCGCCGACCGCGACCGGACTTTAGCTGGTTCTGAGCACTTACTTCGGTGTGGCAGTCGCGGCGGTAGATGGGCACGACGAGGCTGACGGGCGGGCGCGCGCTGCTCAGCGCACGCCGCTCGCCGCCCGCCTCCGGGTCGGTCGTGCCGTGAATCGTGAACTCTGTCACTAGGAATGTACAAATTAATTCTTTTTTATATGATTTAAATAAAAATAAATAAATAAATCTTTGGACAATTTCACACAGCGCCAGCTAGCCCCAAAGTAAGCAACTTAATGCTTGTGTTATGGGTGCTAGCTTAACGGATATACTACTTATATGCTTTTTTTTTAAATACATACATATTATACATAGTCACACCCAGACCCGTCACAGAAATTAAAATTCATCATTTCAATTTCTGCCCGGCCGGGAATCGAACCCGGGACCTCTCGGCATAGTAGTACGTTCTGAACCACTACACCAAACGGCCGACAGGCCAACATTTAGGTGATAATAGCCGGCATCAGAATGTTCATTATATAAGTTGTCTACACAGCACAGCCGTGCGAGACGCGCACAATCCAATACAGACATGAAGGACGAGGTACGAGTACTTTGAGTATGCACCCAGCTATACGAGGAACACTGTTCAATCTTCGTCGACAGCTGAACTATTGTGGTAATTAGTGAACGATTTAAGTACTAGAAAATTGCTGAATTAAAAACAAATCCTATCTAACATTTTAAGTGTAATTTAAAGTAAACTGGGTTGGAAACTTGCACTTTGGCTATCCAAATTCTATAATTCAATTTGCAATGTTTCTATTTATATTTGTTTCGTTAAATTATTATTAATATCAAGTGAAGTAATGTTGTTTGAGCCAATTTTCTACACACTTTACAAACGGCCGGTTTCTATTGGCGCAAAGTGTAAGTAAAAACATGTATATCTACCGTCATCAGTGTCGCCGTAGCCGTCGTCATCGACGTCGTCTTCTTCATCGCTTTCCGCCACGTGGATGGTGACCTCCGTGGTCGGCGACTTGCTCCACTCGAAGTACAGGCCGAAGCCTAAACAAATAATACGATAGTTAAACAATAAGCGATAATAATGGCATGTTAGATTAGATTATGAAAAAAAAATCTTAAACCGTGAAATTACTTTAGTATTATTATAATTGCTAATTAATGATAGAAAAACTACTTAGGTAGATCAGTAATAATGATTGACAAACATGCTGATAGTCCCGTGAATATGCTGGCAGTTTAAGTTACCTATGTAATGACGCATCAGCTGATATTACGTGGCGTTTGGCTTAACCTTTTGTGTACGAACTCAATGTATTTTGCATAGTCCTTCAACGCGTTAAGCAACCGAAAGTTTGTACGGTTTCCTAAACTTAATAAATTAACATAAAAATACAATATTATATTTTTGATCAGTGCAATTTCTGTCCTAACGCGAATTTGACCTAATGCTAATCGGTCGTTAAGCGAATAAAAGAACATACGGGACTCTTCCCACCTCTCGTTTCCACTGCTGCAACTCTTGTGAAGCCAGGATCTTTGATCGCCAATAGAAACCCAACAAGTGAAGATCAAGTTTGTCCCCTTGAAAATCAAAACAGTCATTTGACCCGCAATAAAAAAACATACCTATGTCATAGTTGTCCGTAGCAAACTCCCAGCAAATGCACCTAGCCCGGGGATGTGTGGGCACCCGGACGGTCACAGTCTCTCCATGGCCGACGGTCAATTTCCCGCCGCTGGCGCGAGCAGACTCCTTGAACTGCGCGATGTCCCCGCGCGTCCACATCCGACCCTCGTCCACAGCTGGGAAAACGTCTGATGACGGAATATTGGATTGGATATAATTTTTATAGGCTTAATGAAAGTGCTATTTATACTTTGTACAAAAATTAAAATGTTTAAGCTTAAAAGCTTGTCAGTAACTGGTGCACTGCATATTGTCATTTCTTGTACACGCCACCAACTATCATTGTGTGCCCCTGATGTCCTAGATACACTAAAATTAAATAGAAATAAGACATTTTTTTTTAAGAAAAACATTATTTTATGAAATTGTTATCTACCTTCTCCATCGGATTCCTCTTCCCCTCGCGATTCTTCAGTGTATTCTGGAGTTTCAGTCTTATCTGAAGTTTGCATTGATCTAAACACAGTAAAACAATTATTTCATTACAGATATTTCATTATCTTCATCCAATGTCTGTCATTACATAATTTTAATAGTTCACCCATAAAAAACAGACAGGATAAACTAAGTATTTCATGCCACTATGATCACCTCATGTGCACTGTTATCACTGGCAAAAAAACACAATGCCATCTTAACAAAGAAAGAAGTATAAAATAAGTAAACAAAAAACTCACTTATTATTCTCCATAGCATCAACTGCTTCCATTTCATTCAAGTTACAATCTTTGACTGGTTCCTCTTTCTTATTAGTATTTTCCTCCTCACACTGACTATTGTCTTGAATGTTAGCATTGGCCAGTCTTTGGTCTATGGCCAACTGTTGGATATACTGTTGGTAATGTTGGTCTTGCAGCTGCCGAATAAGGATCGCCTGCTGGTCAAAGTTGCCGGGGAACTGTTGCTGGGCATACTGAAGAAACTGGTTGTATGTTTGTGCGTTTAGCGCATCTTTTATTCTTTGCCTGTAATGTAACAATTTAAGAATTTTGTTATATATTATTTATGTAAATTTTACATAAAATGTATAAAAGATGATTAAGATTTAACGGCAACAAACCGTTTCCAAAGCCTAAAACTAAAAATAGTCAATATGTAGTTAATTAAATATGAACGAATTAATTATTCCACTAGACTAATCCTAAACTAAGCAGAACTAGTGCTAAAGTGACAAGATAATACTAAAAATATTCACGAATGACTGATTATTACTGTTCAGTTATTTTATTTGTTTAACAATGTTTCAACAGCATTTAATGGTACAATAAATGTGCATCACACAAATGTAAATCACACAAACATTTGCTCATGAGAGGACAACCAATTTTATTGTAACAAACAGGTTTGTGAATAATTTTCTAAATAAATAAATGTAAAAGTACTTACACTTGCTGCTCTTCTGTGAGTTTAGCGCTCTGTTGTTTCTGTTTCTCTAACATGATTCTATTTTGTAATTCGGTATGGGCTCTTTCCTCCTCTTGCCTTTTCAACCTAGAAAATTAAATTTTATTATCAAACTACTTCAATTACTAGACATTCAATAAATATAATATTGTCAAGAAACTTACTCCTGCTGTTTTTTATCTTCATGGTCCTTTTGAATAGCCTCCAAGAAAGGTTTGAACAATGGGCACAATCTGCAATTAAAATATTACCTGAGTAATTTGATTTTAAATTAACAAATGGGAAGCAACTGGATGTAGGCAGCACAGAATTTAGTCATTGTGCAAATCCTTAGGTGAGGTTATTCTCTAGCAATGGATGTCCATTGGTTTGATATGATAAAAGAATGAAAGTAGATTAGTTGGTAATAAAAACATTTAAAACAAGATTAAAAGAGAATGTTACCTGTCTAGAGTGTGAATAAACCCAGCCATAGCCTGTATTTGTGACATCTGCCCCAGGGCCTGCCACGCCGCCCTGCGGTCCCGCCCAATCACATCGAGGACACCCAGAGGCGGCGCCGAATTCACGTCCAAAGGCCCATGGGCTGTCTGCTGTGTGTAGGCAACAAGTTTCAGTCGGTCTTCATAGCTCAAATGAATTGCTTTTCCTTCTTTTTCTATAAAAATAACATAATAACAATCATTAAGACTTACAGAAACCTCAACAAGTCCATAAAATAAATGGTTCAATGAAAACATGTCTATGAGAGAATTCATTTTAGTAATCAATAAAACGCATTTTACTTCGATCGTAATAAAAGCATTTGATTACAGTATGCCTGTGATATGAATTATTCGGCCGAATGCAAGTTAATTGAATAGAAATTCATAATTTTAAATAAATCTACCTTTGTAAAAGGATACTGCATGTTTATATACATCTTTTAAAGGTAAACCCCATTTTCTTTCTTCACTCTCCTTGATACCCTGATCAGTTTCAAGGGGAATCTTTTCTGGGAGGATTTTGTGATTATTCTCGGTCTTTGAAGACATTTTTAGAAGATTTTACACAGCAAACGATGTTTTTGCAAAATCGTCGACTTGAAATTTTATGTCAAAGTAAAAACTGTTCCATTGCCAGTGATGAGCTTAATTTACTATTTCAAACTATTACAAATAAAATATTATAAAAAATTGACTGTTGATAGTAATTTAGCAAAAATAAAAATGTGAAGTATAAACAAGAACACGCCTTACAACACGATATGACTACGATATTGTTGCCCATGGCATCGTTATGAGAAAAAATATTGTGGTAGAAAATTCGAAACGCGACACGACATGCGTTGCGGGTGTAGTGAAAATTTTTTCTCAAACATTTCAAGCCAGAACCAAAATATTAAATAAAAAAAAAAACGTCAAAGTGACATATTATGACGTGAGAGAACTTATATTACCATTTTCGTATTTTATTTTCCTGGAAATTGCCTCCAAATCTTATTAATTAACGTTATAATCGTAAAAAAACAATTGATTCTATACACGTATCTGACTATCACAGTTATGCCTAAGCATATGTGTACGCCTGTAATAGTACGCGATACAATTTCCTTGTGATGACTGTGTTGTTTACAAATCAGTGATATTATCTTAAAAAGCCATGGAAGTGAATCCTCTCAATATATTCTTCGTCAAATCGGACAGTAAAGGGGACAGATTATTGTTCAGATACCCCTACACAACAGAAAGCAAAGATGAAGGGACCCAGAAAAAATGTGGTCGTCACAATCCCTACGCCATTAACGCAGCTGAAGACCTGTTGCAAAACCCTCAATCGCAGACCTCCAACATATACAAAGGTATGTTTCATTCGATCTTTGGGAGTTTTATTTGGTTTATTTTTCTAATATTTTTAAACTAATACAAAGACTTATTATGATTCATTTAGGTAACCTCTTCGTCCTTCCATGAACTCTGATCCCTTATCATGCTCTGCAGTCCTTAAATATTGTGAACAATGTCCGTTATACATTGGATTGTACGTCATATTATTTAAATAAGAATTTAATCAATGTTTACAGGTCAACTAAGTGGTTTTACAGATGAAATGCTTTCAACGCTATTCGCTGTGAAAGCAGAACTTTGCAACAGGAAGTTCGAACTGAAAGTAAATGACGTGCGGTTTGTGGGCCACCCGACTCTGCTTCCTTATCGGACCAATAAGGATGATACTGCTGCGATGATATTGATTAATATTGTCTTTGCTTTAAGAGCTTCGGCAAGTCATTCTATAGGTAAGAAGAATATTATTTTTGAAATAAATAATAAAAACCACTTTTGTTACTTTATTATGTGAAGTAAGAATAATTATATCGCTCTTTTATAGTTAAATGTTATTATGACTTGAGCAAAAGACTGGGAAAAGCATTGAGACATGAGGAAAAAAGATGTTCGTATTTGACCGAAGAAATGAAAATAATGGTAAATATATCTATTACGTTCTTATGACACTATGTCCATTTATTTTAATCTGCTTGTTTTGTAAACATGTTCTTATCATATTATAGTGAGAGTGTTATTGAATTATGTTAGAAATTAAAATATGATAACTGAATGATTATGATTTATGATGTGTTTCTATCTTACTATGTATTCTGTATGTTGTATTCAAATATCAATTATTTAACCATATTAATGCTTTATGAGGCACATTTATTTGATGTTTACTATGCAGATATGTGATATTAGAACAATAAATATTTTAATTTAAATCTTAATATTTTAATTTAATATAAATTTTGGGAACTAATGTAATGTTTAATTAAATCTGAAGCTGGCAGCTCATGACGAAGTGTCTGCATTAGATAGCGAAATTAACTCAGGAGAAAATGATGAGGAGGAGGAAAGTTCACGGAACTCGACCAGTTCTAATCCGTACTGCATGGAGAACGGAACTGAAACGGAGCCAAAGTCAGCCTTCCATCTCATCTTACAGAGAAGCTCACTGGCGAGATCTATGAAATCCGTCTTTGAGGAATTAAGTAGTACAGGTAAGTCTATTTCAAACTGCGTTTACAGTTTTTGTTGATTTAGGTTAGCTCAACATTCAACAGAAATGATTGGCAACACCTTTTTCATCTTGTCGTGTCGACAACAAACCTACACAGTGTCAGCCCAAAACTCCGCCACAAGAGTGACATTGTCAGTAGTCTTCATTAAATATTCCTGCATGCAGTAGTTTGGGCACGCAGGGCACGACATCATGTGCTTTGTCGACTGGGGAACAAAACCACACTTGCACTCCAAGTTTGTGCCATCCAAGAATCCCCACTTGAACAGATTGATGTTATAGCATATTTTAAACTTAAAAATCTGTTTACTTACACGCACACCCTTTTTCTTACTTGCAGGAATAGTTCAAGTTCGAATAAACAAATGGGTTTTGTTATCCTTCTGTTTACCACACAAGGCACATCAGATACACAACAGGGGTCTTATTATTGAACCGGAGACAATAGACAAGTGCTTGCAGAAGCTCAGGCCTTACCATGGAATACTCCTGTTGGTATGTATTGAAAACTTGCAACAAATGACAATCTCACTACTAAAAATTGGTAACTCATTTTTTATTTTTTACTGTGTTCATCAGGTCAACCCAAATGAGCTCTTAGCATCTATTCCACTTGATGGAAGCCCTGCTCTGCTAAGGCTCATAAAACTTTACAGTCCACTGAAGAGTCTACAGACTCTTGCTATTGAAGCCGACTTGTCTTTGACCCAGGTAAAGATTAATTTACTTAAAAAGTATATCATAAGATAAGGGAAGTTCCTGAACAAATCTTGTTACACAAGTTGATTATTTCAGGTGTTCCAACTGACTGGGCACCTTGTGTATTGGGCCAAGGCTACAATAATCTACCCGCTGTGTGAAGGCAATGTGTACGTCGTCGCTCCCGGCGCGAACGTTCACATACACTCTCCGTTAGTCGAAGAGTTTGCCAAAGAATTCCCTGGGCTGTGCTTGTTGCAGGTATGTATTTAAAGGTATTTAGGACACGAATAATTTAACTGTGTCCAGCCAGATGCTTGTTATATTTCTTATTTAATTTTGTATTAGTACCCACGTTGAATGCGCGTCCCCTCCCCCAATCGCAATTAAACGCAATAAGTTAGTGATTAAACGCAATTAATGTGTCTTATTTTACGCAAATACACAATTTTTATCAATATAAAAAAAAATTTTTGTTATAGTTATAGATAGACGCTTCCCTTCGAGTGAGGTCATAATCGCCAGCGGCAAACTTAGTGCGAACGGATAGTATCATTATTTAGAATCTTAAATTAAAAATAATTTCGTTCCATTGTCTAATTTGATAACAACAACAACGAGCTTAACTTAAATATTTTCATGACGTCATTATTGACAATGTTGCCTTGATAAGGAAGAGTTATTGCCCATATTTGTGCACTTGTAGGGTGTCGTCCATAACAGCAAAATGCTGATTTTTGCTGCTGCTGCTGATGCATTGAGAATCTTCATTCATTTCAAATAATTTTTGAATGTTAATTAGCAAAAAGCTTGAACTCAAAGCCATAAAAGTATTTAAAAAAACATAGAACAAATATTAGTGTTGTACTCCAAAAATATCACCTAAAAATACTTGGTTCAAAATCACTAGATTTTTTCTCAATGTTAAATTACTGTGGCCTGTAATAAAAACAAAATTCCATATTGAATGTAGCCTCCAACTAACTTTTTAGATGCTAGGCGAGTTCTCCCTCCCCGCTCCCCTATGGTACGTTTCCCGCGGGGCGGGAGGCGGGTGCGGAGGATGTGGAGGTGGCGCGCGACTGGCGCGGGTGGTGGCGTGGCTGCTGCAGCGCCGCCTGTTGCTGCAGCTTCATACTTACGTGCAGTTCAACTCACCGCATTGGCGCTGGGGACTTGATACAGGTAAGACTTTTATAAATTCCTGTTTTTAATTATTTCCTTTGTTTTTAGCTTAACGTGTACGTAATATTTTTATTTTTAAAACACCTTTTTGACTGTATGTATGTTATTTTCAGACGGTAAAGAATACTACTGTGAAAAACACAATATTTATAATCAATCAAGCAGCGTGTCATTTTCGTCACTCAATCAAATGCAATTAAATGTACCTGAACCTGTTGAACCCAGAGACAGCACCAACCATTTCCCAGATGCTGAAGTAGACTATCCTACAGAGAACAATCTCAACCAGACTGACTTTTCACACACGAAACCTATAGTTATCGAATCTGACCTCACGAAGTACGACAAATTCCCAGAAATTGACTCCGCCAATCATTCATTTGATGAGGGAGTGGACGTTGTTGACGGTGTGATAAATACGAGTTTTGTGAATGGTTTAGACTTTAAAGATATGGGGGAAAAAAAGAAATTGCATGGCAATTCCGTAGATAGCGGTATATCCAACAACATGAATGGTAACATTGCTGAGACTAATGGAATCAATGGCCATGCGGAGCATGTCAACGGAGATATTGACAAACTAGAAGAGAAAACAAAGACTTTGCCGTCAAGGTTATCAGACTTGTCATTGAAGGAAACTGAGCATATTCTAAATACGAGTAGCGATGATGATAAGATCGAAAGTGACCAAGATGTGTCGCCAAGATCGAAGTCAAGTGGTATAGCAATGAGTGGCGAGAAGAAGAATGGAGTCTCGTTGAACCTCAAGTTGCAAAGTGAAATGAGGTATGTGTTTTAATTTTCTGATGATTAAAAGTAATTTATTACGTGGCATACACTGTTAAACAGCTAGAATTACCTTCTCTGAATGCAATTATGTACAATTTATCGTAAATTTAAGTTAATTTGCAACTTATCAACGCTTCCTAAAGTTTTTTATTTATGAATTTACCAACAGGCTAAAGTGTAATGTAATGTTAACATGTGATGGGTGTGGCAACTAACTAATTAATTATTCATTCTTTTTCTAGTTTTCAGCAGCCTATAGTGTGGAGTATACCGGCGAACTGTGACGTAGTTGACGCCTGCCGAGTACCTCAAGAGCCTCCCACTACTGAGTCATTGCTGGACACGTTTAACGCCGAAGAACGAGCTGTCCTAACTGCCATACCTGCTTCCAAGGACACCGATGATCTGTTACTTCTTGCTCAGCTTCATAAAAAAGGTAATAATAGAATCTGCTAAATGAAGTAGATATTAAAATAATTATTATTACATAAAAAATACTTTAATTAGTCGACATAAGTTCAAGTGTTTCATCGTTTTACTATAATTATTGCCTATGACTTATTAAGGATTATCATCTTTGTATCCAATTCACAGGCTATTTCCGCGGTGAGCAGCACCTCGAAGAAATAATGTTCATGGAGAACGTGAGTCGCTCCCAGCTGATGCAGTTACTCGACAAGTTCAAAGACGTACTCATCACATTTGAGACTGAAGACCCAGCTGTAGCTATGCTGTATCCGAGCCAATAAATATTTTCAACATCGCTTACAAATATTGCAGTCAGTGGTGTGAATCTGGAAAACAGCACTCTTTTAACGCTGTAAATCTAAGGTTAAAAGAGATTCATTAAAAACTTTCAACTATAAAACTAGTTAATGCCTCTGAATTTGCATCAAAATAGTTAACGTTATGGTTATTATATCACTCGAATTAAAAATCCAAGCTAAGTTGCAATTACTAGTTTATGTGCCATTACTAAAAAATAGGTTTAGATTGGTAAGGTAGTAATTTTTTTTTGTTGTTTATACTATTGTATTTATTTCGCCATTACATAATTTATCACTTCATTATGTATCTACGATGCATGTTACGTGTTTTTAAGAGCACAATCAACCCTTAAAAGGAAATTTAAGTGGTGTTATCTTTTTAAAAAGGTAATAGATTCCTAATGGCATACTCAATTGTTTAATAATTCTGAGTTTATGAGCGGATAAAACCGCAGAAAGAAAGCTTCAGACAAGACTTGTCTTGTTCACTTAGTGAACATGAACAAAAACATTTCAAGTCTTCTATGGTAATAGAAGGACATGCGACTTTTTTAAATGTGTCGATTAGAAAATCATTTTAGTTTATACTTTATTATTTCCATTTGCATAAAATAATATCTTGCCCTGTATTTGTTCTTCAAAAGTTAGTTAAGATTTTTGTATCTGCGCTACTTTTAAAGATCATTGCATCACATTTACGCAATAAGACTCAATATAGTTATGTTATAGTGTCTTGTATAATATGTACTTAGATAATACATTCAAAGGTAGCTTTTAATTTAATTTCTATATTTAAAAATGTTCCTAAATTTTGTTTAATTATTTATATAATTTTAGTTATTGGAATAGATGTAGCGATTGTTAATAACAATTTCCGGTTATTCTATTGTCATCTCCTCATTACACCTACACTTTCTCGCACTCGGAAATTACTTTCTCTACATTTCTCCGCCTTTTGTATTACCTATTAATTTCTATCATCTAAATCACTTGAAAACTCTGTGATAATTAATGAGGATGCATTAATTAATCGCTCAATAAATAATTTATAAATGATGTTTTGAACAAAGACTAGTAATTGGAAACTAATAAAACAAAAGATTTTTTAATAATGATGCAAGTTACTTCTTACATATTAAATACCCATTTTTAACTATGATTTTTAAGATTACAAGAGCTTGGCACAGCGTGCTTGTGTAAATATTTATTCATAGTATATTTATTATTTTAATAAAAATATAATACTTAATGTTATTTTATTTTAACTCATTAAAGTTAAATTCGTGATTTATTATTAGATACCTAATGGTAGGTACTTCTAATAATAAATCACGAATTCTACTAGCTATATCATATTTCCTGAGTTCCTGACTTCTGTTATTTTTGCTCATAACTCTAAAAGATATTAAAGTAACTTTATTAAAAATAATAATTAAAAAATATGTTTAATAACAGTTCCTTTTGTAACTTTCGCAACCGCTCCACAAACACAATAGCCGACATAGCCGTACATCACTATTTGATCAGCTGTCATTTGTTGTTGTTGTCAAACCAGCTGTCAGTTGTGGTTATTGGCTTCAGCGTTTCGTATTTTTTGTTTTCCTTTGTGATTGTGCGTATTCTCTAAACGGAAAACATGAAGAACTTCCCAGTTTTCGTATTTCCTGTGTCCCTTGAATTTTATCTTAGTGCTAGACACACGCACAAGCAGTTATTGACTGTGTATAATCCTTACGATTTCTCTGTGAATTTTAAAGGTAAGTGAATGGTTTTATGATGATGCTTGCATTGTGGTTTGTTGAGGGGACGAAGCAAAATAAATACCACTACTTTTTCCTTTATCGTTTTAGTGCTATGTACATCTCCAAACAAGTTTACGGTGATAGACCCTGAAGGTGTTATAGCCCCTCAAAGTTGCATAGACATTGTCGTCCGCTACACTCAGCTAGCTGTTACACACTGCGACACAACAGAAAAATTCAGGATAACCATGTATGACAGGAATACACAGCAGGTATATTATTCTAAACTAAATTACTATTTTAATAGATAGTTTTCTTATCATTCATGCTTTACTAATAATTGACCTTTGGACAAAATGATGAAATCTATTATCATTAACATTTTGCTATTGTTAGGAAATAATACCACACGCAAATTTTAACAACACAAGAACAGTAAAGTAGGACCATTTGACTTCATTCAATCAAATGGGGTCATTTTGCCTTGTTGTTTGTATTAAATTGGCCTACTGATAATTAGTTGTTTTACATTCTTAATCTTATTTTTGACTGATCAGTATCATTGACCTGATTATTAAATCAGAAACAGTTACAATAATAAAATTGTATTCAAATAAGTTATTTAGTTGCAAGTGTGTTTTGATACTGTGGATAAAATGATTTTCTTTATTAATTTTGCAGGCATTGGGCAAAAGAGATATTCCCACGAAGCTAATAGAAGGCGAACCTTCAAACTTAAATCCTGAGAGTATGGGTGACAGCTTCCATCCACTGACCACGAGGGCAGCTCCCATCCGGCCTGCAGAGGAGCAACCACGAGTTTCTTGTCAGCACCCTTCACATCACAGGTGACCTTTAATTATGAGTTATTTAAGTCATTCCTTTTTGTCATGATTAAGAATTAGTGAATAAAAATAGAGTAATGAGAAACTTGTTTTTGGAAATCATTTTCTGTATTAAATTGGTAGGGTCTTTTTCAATCTTACTTACCTTGAAATAGTTGCAAAGGGTGTTGTCATCTTTGTATTTTAACACAAAATATATTTAAATTATGTTAAATAAATTCACAGTTCCTGTTAAGTTTGGTGATTGAATTGTTTACATATTTCAGAGAGCAACAACCAGTAAACGTTGTAGCAGTTGCTGTCAGTATATGCTGCATCGCTGCTCTCCTGCTACCAACGCAACCAGAGCAAGTCACCCAAACACAGTGGCCAGAATGGCTCCACATAGGTTCCAACCTCAAACTTGTCTTTTCATTCGTTTTAGGATTAGTAAGTATGTTGGTACTAAGACCTTAGAATCTACAAGATTTAATCATACCTCTCATTAGGTATAGCATTCATAAATCCATCAGTACTACTGCTACACTTCTGTGGCGGTTTCAAGGAAAATATTAAGGTCATCATCAAAACTGTATAGTAAAATATTGTGATTTATCTGGTAGAAGAATTTGTTTAAATTAAATTACATACAGCAGAAACACACATCAGCCTATTTAATTCAATCTCTAAATTATTTTAGTCTAAATCAATCATATTCATGAACAGGGTAAATATTATAGACACTGGCAGCTGCATGTTTAAACTATGTGTTGTCTTAATAAGTGCTCTGAGTTTTATAGAACTGTTTAAAAATCCTGAAATTCTAATAATAACAATATTTTTAATGTTACATTGAATGTTCTTGCTTCTACTTAAGATTTATTCACTGCATCTCTTTACTGTATACTCAACACCAGGCAGGGATGTAAATTCTTTTTTGTGCATCCATGCTGAACACATTATCCTTTTGGTGCTGGTTTTCGAGTGGGAAATGTCCTTCTATGGATAGTTAAATTAAAATTAAATATCCCTTTTAGCAGGGACATTTTTTTACCTTGTGTTGTGTGGGGCTGTGGTTTGTCACGTGTTAACACTTTAACTTTAAAAAGTGTTAATCTAAAACATGTCAAGTAAAAAATTATGAATTGATTTATAATTTTATTTTGGTCTTAATATTGTGGTGCATGTTAAAATAAGAGTAGAGTTTGTTTTCTCATTACTCTAGCTAGGTGCTGTTTTATTTTGTGAATTAGGGCTCTGCTTTCTTGAACGTGATGGTACACCTCCATTTTACAAAACAAGTGATATTTTTGTAGTAATTTTGAAAACAAGATACGACGCAACTTTTGGGGTTGAGTTTACAAACAAACAAGAGCTTTTATTTTTAGTGAAGAAAAAATTTCAACACGATAATTTCGCATAGGATTGATAGAAAATTGAATCACGTTCAAGGCAGCAGACCACCTGGAATTGATATTTTAAAAATGAATTAAATTTTTCACTTAGAAATTAATCTATCTATATTATGTTCTATTTTATTGTATTCGAATTTTGCAAACTTACAACCATGCGACATATTTTAATCTGAAAAACTGACTACTTGCTGTATCGCGACTTTATTGAGAAAGTATTACACTTTGGTTGTAAATATCTTTAAGTAATGTATTTTAAATTAGCTTAGTGCTTATAAATATTTGAAGAAAATCCATAATAGCTGTAAATAAATTGATGATTAAACCTAAGGTACAGAAAAAAGCATTTATTAAAATTAAAAATCCATGACTACTTAAACAGACTTGTAAAATAATTTTATCAAATTCGAAATTGGTCTACATTTGTTGTAAAATAAGTTTACGTATTAAGTTGTACTTGTCCTAACTTTTTACCTTTAAAATTCTTTGTGATTTGGGACCACCATTGATGTGTTATGCCAAAAATATGACTAATCAGAACATTGCCTTTTATATTGTTCCTGTATGGCCGCTTGTAAACATCCGTTTTTTTCACCGGACAACGGCCCGATTTTTTCGCCGGATATAGTGGTGGTGTATGGTTTAAAATGAACGTGTGCACATGCATCGGACATAGGTCCGGCGAGAAAATTGACAGCTAACAAAGGATATCCGTTTTTTGACGGTCCGTCGTCCGGTGAAAAAACGGATGTCTACAAACGGCTTATCTCATTGTATTTTTCTATTGGGAATGAGTATTTTTGCTACTTATTTGAGAAGGATATCGACTAATTATAAAGAAATTTTAAAAGTATGCTCTTAATCATTTATTTTCGTAATTATAACAAAAAAACGACAGCCGAGTTTAAGATCACAATACAATTCCCTGCGTATAAACATTGAGCAAGTAGAATTTCGATTACATTTCTGATTTCTTTAATTCCATATTTTATTGTCTGCAATTAACAGCCACTTAACAATTAAATAGTAAGTACATAGGTATAATAGACTTTAGTATCACAATACGTCGTTTATAATTATTTAAAGTACAATGATATGTACAGCAGAGTACTTATTTAAAAACTAACAACGGGGTTGATTGGATACACACTTTCTTATCTATTTTTACAATAAATTAATCAAATTAATCCTGTGAACAATACATACATTTTCGATAGCTTTCATAATATTCATTCGCAGGAAATTACTAAATCAGTACTAGAGTTTAGTTCTCTGTTAGAACAGGCAGTAGCGGCGGTCCGCCCCGGGTGCCAAGCATCAGGGGGTGACAAAGTCGCGCAGATTAGTACTCACTGACGCATCTGCATGGCAAGGACGGTCGTGATGTCATGACAGGGGGGCACCATTCTGGGGTGCCTTAGGCTATAATTTATATTNAACCGCCCCGGGTGCCAACCTATGCTACGCCGCCACTGAGAACAGGTATAGCGCATAACCAAATAATCGGTATTGCGATAGCGGGAGGGTTTCTGTGTCAAAACGATTTTATGTCACACGCTCCACTACCGCCTGAAACCCTGTCGAGTTAGCTGCGCACCCGGCGGCCGTGACGTCACATCGACGCTCGTGCACGCAAGTGGGAGGGAGAGTCGCATTCCAGCGAGGTGCGCAATGAGGGCTATCGTTTTTATACTTAACAGTTGGCACCCCTGGCGATTGACAGGACCTTACTCTACAGTGGCGCCATCTTGATGAGTGCAAATGCGATAGTCCTCCTACCACTTTAGCGCTCACCAGTTGGTGCCACTGTCTTCGCTACTAGCAAGTGACAGGACCTTACTCTACAGTGGCGCTAACTGGTGAGCGCTAAAACGATAGCCCTCATTAGCTCGATCGGGTTATACCTGTAATTAACTTTACCTCGTTATTTGACTGCCTATTATTTATAGTTGTGCCGTGATTTTTGACTACGATTCCTTTTTTTTACTTAGAATGCATTAACTGACGCAGTGCGTGTTGAGAGGCTAATGAGAAATGTATGATTATGATTATTAGCTGATAGTTAAGACAAAAATATTATCTAAGTGGTCCTCTTACTTTTTCGAGTGCTAATTTTAATAAGATTTATTTAATTTGAAAATTATAAATAACTTGAAAAAATCGTGGGTTCAATTCCCGCCTTAGGCAGTTCGATTTTTTCAAGTTATTTATAATTTTCAAATTAGTTTGAGATGCGACTCTAAACGCTAAAAATTTAATAACTAAGATTTATTTAAGTTTAAAAATAATGATACAATTATTTAAAATTCAGAATATTAAATTAAACTGCAGATAGACTGCGTAATATACCTATATTACGCTACACTGCAGTAGAACGACTGGGATGTACTTGCTACTGTAGCGAATAGGTAAGAAAACTACTATATGTAGAGAACTGCACGTGTGATTTTTTTGGCGCTACGACTACATTGCTAGATACTAATTGGACGTAAAACGGTTGTTAAAATCCCGTCACAAGTTCTTGGCGAGTTTAATTAGCTCTATCTAATTATTCTAGATATCATTAATTGGTCATAGAAATAATAATAGCCTAAAAAAAACAAGTATAGTACAACCCTTAAAAGTTGTTTTAACTTTAGGGTACCAGGGAACCCTGGAAAAATAAAGAAATAAATTAATTTAGAGAAAACTCAAGAGTAGAAATTGAACTGATATTTTTTTTATTCTGGTATTTCATCATCATCATTTCAGCCATAGGACGTCCACTGCTGAACATAGGCCTCCCCTAATGCTTTCCATGTTGATCGATTGGTAGCGGCCTGCGTCCTGCGCTTCCCTGCTACCTTTACGATGTCGTCGGTCCACCTTGTAGGTGGACGTCCCACGCTGTGTTTTCCGGTACGCGTTTTCCGGTTTTCCTCCATTCCAGAACCTTTCTGCCCCATCGGCCGTCAGTTCTGCGTACTATGTGCCCTGCCCATTGCCACTTCAGCTTGCTAATCCGTCGGGCTATGTCAGCGACTTTTGGTATTTCACGTCCTAATATTCCGAAATAATATCCCAGAATTNCCGGGGCATGGTCTTGGTGGTAATTGCTGACGTAGTGAGGTCAGCATTGCCTACAAAATGCCAAGAAACCATCTGCTGTGTTAAGTAGTGAAACACCGATGTAGCAGAACCCCGGCCAGTCCGCGTCATCCACGTCCTTGTCGTCCACCCTGGGACCTGCTGCAGCCACGCTTTGCGTGCCCACTACCTAGACTTGCAGCTGAGCTGAGGATGCAGGGCGAAAGGCGAGTATTCTGCGCCTGAAAACAGAATCCCATCACTAGGGAGGATACCCGGAAAAAACCGAGCGAGTCCAGAAGCTCTGAGGTGGCAGCCCCACCACTGGACTAGGGTACAGCAGGTTAATCACCCACTTGCCCGAAAATACTCGATTAACGAAACGAACAAAGTAAGTCAAAACCTACTTACTGAGGAATATAACCATATAGGCCGTTATTTGACTGTAATCTTAAAAATTAACTTACAGCAAGAGTCAATCCCTGATTTCTAGCGCCTACTTATACCTAATGATAAGTCTACTTTTAGGAGTGAAAATTACTAATAAGTTACTTTAAATTAGCTTAAGCAAAGTTTGATTTTGTGATATGATGAGTGTAGATAAAACTTTCCAGGAACAAGATATGCTACAAGTCTACCATGATATGAGTAAAAAGTGGATGAAGAACTGTTGCAACTTCTGTATACTTCAGATTTTTTAGGCCATCATCAGAGATTCCATTTTTCTCATACTTCACTACCTGCTTTCTCCTATCTCTGGAAACAATAATAATAACAATGGTTAAACACATACATGAAACATTGCATCAATTTATTCTGGAGTCATAAATATTATTAGAATTAAATAAAATTAGCATTCTTGTTGTTTATTCTAGGATTATATTTGACACAAACATTTGTAAAAAAATAAATTACCCAGTATGTTGACTTTTGTGGCTCATCATATGGTATCTACTGTTTTCAGGTTCAAACCGACACATCTTTAATTCCTCACTCTCCATCCGAGCATAGAGGTCATCATCCTCTCCTCCCCAACCAAAATACTCATTGCTCATTCCGTTGATTGTTTTATACTGGTGTGATGTGATTGCTATAGCACCACCAAATAGATTTAAATATGGTAACACAAACCTGAAAAAAAGATGAATCTAAAGGTATAATAGAAAGTTAAAAAAAAATTAAGAACTTATTGAAATAAATGCAAAAAATAAAGGTACTTACACAAAGTGCTTTGAAGCTGTAGTGGTTAACCAAATTAAGGGTGCATAGCAACAACCAAAAATTTAAATAAAAGAACTAAATCTTCTTTACAATTATTATGGTTCAGAACACTTTAAATCTTCTACTCTGAGAGCTAAAAAGAAAACAAAAATGTAAACACAACTTGATAAGAGGCTCAACTAACTACTTATTGATGGGAATGTCCAATTTATTATACCTGAACTTATTGATGCTTGAAGACATATGCCTTGGGCATTTAGTGCATGCATACAAGTTAGCTGGCCTCAATGGTAACAGGTCAACGTCATGCAATACCAGACAAGGGTAACCAGCACGCATTGCTGCTAGTGCACCAATGTTCAAGAGCTTTGCCCTGTTAAACGGTCGGGTGTCCACTTGCTCAACAACAAAGATACGATAATGTATGCTCTGGCGACGTAGGAACATATGCATGTAGACTAAGAAACCGCGCAGTTGCTCTGCTCTGTCTCTGTAAGAATATAAAACAAACATTGATTGTTGATAGAGATTTTTTACTATTACCATTTTAGGTTTACTGACCTATAGGGCACTATAACAGCCGTACTAAATTTAGGTTTGCAATCAGAGGGAGAAAATTCACCGCCTTCTCTTATTCTATGGCCTTCGATCAAGTCTCCGTCAACGAGACTATCAGACAGGGTTGTGTCGTCAAACAGCACATCGTGATAGTCACACTCGAGGATGGCACTGCTTGTGAAATTAACAGCAGTTTCCTCGTACAAAGTATCCGGTATGAGTTCTTTTTCAATATATTCGTAAGACCTCCGAGCATTCATATCGGGGTGCAGAAAAATAATCAACACTATGATAATAATTCCACAATACAAAACTTTTTTCTTGCATGCATTACGCATTTTTTGTTTGTTTCTTTCTGTCCGTTGAACACAATATTAAAATTAATCAATTCCTTTAAAAATTAAAACAAAATTCCCTGTCGAAAACCCGCACAACAAATTTTGAATTGTCAATTAAATCATGACATTTTTAAAATGTCCTCTGTCAGTAGCACAGGTTAAATGAGAAAGCTGTCAACTATATTAAGCTACTCGCACACAACGTTGACCACACATGAGGGTAGATGAACAAAATGATGTAATGGGGGTATGTATTTTATAAAAATCTATGTGAGTGTCTCAAGTTTCAAGATTAGTGAGAGAAAATCTTTTACTTTGTCGTGAGATAATTACATACTCTAGAAAAAAAATTATTCAAAACTTGTTGAAGTTGAGGGAAAGAGAAGCTGGCTATTAAATAAATTAAAATAATAAAATGACGTTGAAAGACGACAAGGAAATCCTAATCAACGACAACGACGACGCTGCTGATTTTGTTAATTCCGTTGAAGTTTTAAGAAGATGCTCTAAAGAGGACATTATTGATACATCTTGGGACGGAAGTTACTATGCTTCCTTTCGTGATCAAAGTAAAGAGACTGCTAACAAGACCCCACCTTTTGTGAGCATCATGGTGAGTGGCACTGTGAGCCCGGAGGACAAGAGTCACAGTTCAACTCAGACGGAACCAGCGCTAGCAATAAACTGCAGCCTAAGGGACGTAAGTTTGTCGTTTACCGACGACTACAATGCACGTGAATCAACGTCTAACGAAAATTCTGATCATTACTTGCGAAGTAAACGGCAAAGGTGTAAATCTAGCGGTGACAACAGGGAACTTCGGCCCTGGAAAAAGACGAAATGTACCGAATCGTGTACATCGAGTACGTCAGATATTTCAGACCCCAAGGCATCTCTTGGGGACTCAACAAGCGCTCTGACCAGCGCCTCAGAGATATCGTTCAAATCTGTTAACAGCAACCATTCTTTTAAAGTTAGGAAGAGGAGACTGAAATCTGATTCGAATCTATTTAGGGATGCTCTACAACGATCAAGGAAGAGTACTAATCTCAGCAGACTAAATTGTCATGAAGATAACACGTCCGGTATGTATTATGAATTGGATAAACTTTCAGCCTAGGCTTAATTTGATATGGTGGCTTACCTAACTTAGTTTAAAAGTTTTTGAACTTTTAACTCTCGTCTACAGTGGCAGCGTGAGTGAAGGCTAGTTCGGCTACCGATCTACACGGTTGCGGGTTCGATCCCCACACAATAGTTATGTTACGTTATGTAACATTTTTGCGGGCTGTGGTGACCTCACTGCAGTGAGTTTCAACAATCTATTTATAGACATGATGAGGGACACATTAGTGACGTTAATCATCGTCTCAAGTCAAATGTAGGCATAAAATATTGATTGTAGAAAAAGTTTTTTTACTCAACTAATTTTGTAATATAAAAAAACATTTTACTTTTTAACTATCGCTTAATTTCTAGTAAACAATGAATGAGTAAGTAATTTTAATGCATACAGAATTAATATAATTACATACTATGATCATTCAACTAGTTAATTTTAACCTTTGACGGCGAATCGATTTAACTGGTAGGTATAGGTGTTAATTCGCGTGACCTTATTTCTATAATTATTAATAATGATGAAAACGATTAACCTTCATTAAGGTTTGAAAGAAAGAACTGAAACTAGTTAAAAGGTTGGACACATGTAAGTAGGTAATTACATACAGACATACAGACCAACGAATTCATTTTTATTTTATACAATTTCATTATCAGCTTTATTGGTCCACTTATTTGTTTGATAATAGTGTTTTTCTCGGGTCAATGGCGCTCAAGAGTCGAGACAGCGTGACATCATCACTGTGTCGTCAATTTCAAGTTTGATCAAGTTCTGTTTCAATCTAACGGCCGAAATGAGACATACACAAAGTCCGTTCTTGTTGTTAAGACTTTATTATTAGTTTTGTTAATGATGTGTGCGAATAGTTGCAACGGTTTAACTCTAGAAGTAGAAGTAGAGTGCGGTTTAGACACAGGACTATTGAGTGAGGTGGAGTGGTTTGTGTTGGCAGGTGGCACGCCGAGGAAAGAAAGAAGTTATCGTCGAAATAAGGCGAGGTCTTGGCGGTTTGTTGATTTATGTGCATGGATTGGCAGAAAGGTAAGAGTCATATGATTATGAGGTTTACTATCTTTTATAATACTTTTTCTGATAATGGTGGGTTACCTACTTATACAGATCATAGAGGTAAACAACTGCAAAACTTTAGTTTAGAAATTTTAAAACCCAATAGGTAGGTACTTATACCTATTGGGTTTTAAAATTTCTCATAACTAAGTAAGTACGTAATACTTTGCACCGAGTCTTTCTATAATTATGATTATTTTCCATATTTTCAGGGGTACCAGTCTATCACAGGCTTGTACTCTGACATGATTAGAGAACCCATTGGTCGGAAAGAAACATTCATTGAAAAAAATGAAGAAATTACAGAACTCAAAAAGTATTTGGAGGAAGTTGACAACAAACAAACGCGGCTAGCTCAGGAGAATGTTTTCTTACAAGAACAAATGAAAAACATGATGACTAAGCTCGAAGAACTGGAGGGTAAGCTCAGGTAATAAGTACCAACGACTATTTTTTCCCAGGCTAGCTTGTTTCATGTGTTTAAGTATTCCGTTTATTTTTGTTATCCAGTTTCTTTTCTAGGTATGTCACCTAGTAGGTAACTTAATACTAGTTACTATTACTACTAAGTAAGTAAGAAGCTAATGCCTATACTGGCCTTACCTACTTTAGCCTAGAGGCCTAGATAATTTGTGATTAGACAAAAACCATTGCATTTACTAACGAATATTGTCATAAAATATTCCTTCATTTTGCAGCCGACATGAATGCCAACAATCATCAACACTAGTCCCAGCACCATCTGCACCACCACCGCCGCCTCCGCCGCCACCGCCACCGCCACCACCGCCGCTACCGCCTCCGCAACCCGCGACTAAACTAGTCCGCTCACATACAATACCAAGATGTGGATCTGCACCCCCAAGGATCACTGGGCCACGGCTGACTATCACGCCGCAAGACATAGCTAATGTGAAACTTAGGAAAACAAAGGTCAGTTTGTTATTTTAGGCAATCTGCATCTGCAGTAATCTGCACAAACAGGCTAAGGCTACTTTCAGCGTAATTTGCGTAACTATAAAAAGCAAATTAACCAGCACTTCCTGCGGTTAGTATTTGCAGATGATATAAGATATATAAGATTCTGTAATCTTCCAACTCAGTCACGAATTAATCTATGGCTATTATAACTAGTAGCTAGTTACATACATGTAGAAATTATCTTTCAGATGATTCTTAATACGAACGGCGCGTTTCTAGTCTTCGTTTATTCAACAGGACAACCCAGTGCGGTCGAAACCAGTACCTAAAGACTCGATGCAGCCCTTAGTGACACAGCAGATGCTTCAGAACACGCGAGCAAAGTTGGGCCGATCACGGCCAATCGCTGCTTCAACGCCAAAGCAACAACTATCGGAACTAGAGAAGTAAGATTAAATAACATCCCACAGATTTTCGTTGCTTTTAAAAAAGTACTTCGTAGACATATGGCAACACTATGCATTTAGGGTTAAATAAGTAAATGTTCTGTTAGAAACATGGACTTCCAATTTAAATAATTCTATTTATTTATCTCCTCAAGGTGCCTCCTGCAGGAGACTTCAACAACCGCACTGTACAGGCGACGCGTGGCCCGTGGGTCTTTCCGCAGCGCGGAAGACCTGCGCCCGCGGCCTTATCCCGCCTCCCGCGCCGCGCGATCTCCACACGGCCCACGCTCCCCTCGATCTAACTCGCTACCTCGCGGTGTGCAAATAACACCTATAAATTTTAATAACTGTGGTGCATTAAAATAACCTTTCTTCATGTTCGTCAATAATTTGTCTTGCAATTTTTTGAAGTAAGCTGATCAATAATTTAGCGATTAGTCTATTATTAGAGGAACTATTAATACCTCCTTAATTAAGGCTTCGGAGTTGGCCGATACTTGAAAGTATTTCTAGAAGTGTTGATTACTCTAGAATATTTAGCTTTGCTATTACACAATCGTACTTAATACCTTTTAATATAATTTTGTATGATTTTGGCTGTAATATTTACAATAATCATGGTCATTTGGTCATCAATCAAGTTTCGATCACTTTAATTTAAATATTATTAGCATTTAGAATTGTAAAGAATCCTTTGAAATTTACGTTTATTAGTATTGACAAGAAAATATAAATCCATATTTTATTATCTCTGATTAATTATTTGATTGAATTTGTAGTGTAAAAATCAATAAATGCTATTATTAATTAAAAAAATGAATTGTTTCCTTTACTTACCTATTTCTTTCAAATATTATTGCGAATAAATTAACGGTACAAAAGGCGAACTTAATGCCATAAATGATAGAACTCTTTTCTTGTCAACCTTTGCCCAACAATATTAAATAGATACCAGTAAAACCATTAACATCAAGTAAATCGCACCATGCGATCGCGATTTCTTCTGACACAATCATGGCGCCCCAACAATACTTATTGGTGTTATTAATTTGAAAGCCTTAATGGGCTTACTTATAGAAAAACACATACTAGTGACTTGAAAAAAGGCCTCACTTGTATAATGTGTTCTGTGCTCACTTGGGGCTCACCTCTGGGACCAAGTACTTAAACCAATTTTTGTGGTTACAAAACCAAATAATGATTTAACAGAATGGATAGCATTTTACTTATAGCCATAAAAGTTGGCTCAAGCGTAACTACTTACCTACTTAGTTACCTGTCGCTTTAAGAAGAGACTGGATCCTTCTTAAGACACATTTACTTACTTCACATTTTTGGGGTAAAAACCTTTCCTTGAAAAGAAGTTTAGAACTAGGCTTTCAAATGGTACCATTATTGGTGGGAAGTGGGGATTCATATGTTTGAAAAGTGCTAGACACGGGAGGTGCGATTTATTTGACGCCGAGTGTAGGATCAATTGTTAAAAACTTAAGTACCTATTTAAAACAATATTCGCTGTGATTGTTATAGTCGAATGAGGGGAGAATGGACCAAATTCGGGATGAAAAGAAGTTATCAATGTGTCAACGGGATTCAGGAAAGTTTTGATTGACTGGCATAAATAATTATGTCTTAAATATTTTGAAACAAAAGGAGCTTCTTGGTGGGAATGTTAAGCGTCAAAAATCGTGTTTGGACGACTATTAATGTGTAATAATGGTGGATTATTAACCATTAAGAGTAGGCGCACACCGTTGATTTTTAGTTGGCCGATAGTTGTGCCCGATTTTAATTTGTATGAAGAATCGGCCAAATCGAATCGGCGTAGTGTGCGCACTTCCATACATGCTCATACCATAAAGTTAATATTAACTTTATGGCTCATACTGATCAACTGCCCGACTAAACTATCGGCCGACGAAAAATCAACGGTGTGCGCCTACTCTAAGTGTTTGTGAACGTGCATGAGTGTGGGCAAATGAAACAAAACAGTGCAGCGTGATTCTTCAGATTCTCTCAAGTATGAAGTCTCCATATTATGAAGTCTCAGTAAAGCACCACAACGTTACTGAGACTCAAAGGGTGGGAAGGGGTATTATCTATTATCCTTCATATATCATTAACCCAAGTCCCAACTCCCAACCCACTTGGTCCCATTTTGTACTCGTCTCACTGGAAAATGGCACAAATCAAGTCGACCTCAACGTGTATTGCCAACATCAAAAAAGAAGAAGAAGAGAAGAAACACTTTATAGATGACCCACGCTGAACTGTCCCGCCAAACTCAATGACAGGGGGGCGCTACCATCGTTCAACTATATGGTTTCCAACATGGCAAAAATCTGAACCAGCGATCCGGTATTGACGGTGGCGCCCCACTGTCAATGTCATCGACAGGACAGTCCAGTATTTTGGAACTATAACGTGCTATAACGATCAAATAGTAAATGTCAAGTGCACAGAAATGTCAAGTGTTGTGTTTTTATGTGTTTTTAACTGTTTTTCAGGTTTTTTTTCTTCTTTGGGTGCCGTGAAAAATAAATAAATAAAGGACGTCATTTAATCTTAAATTCAAATATTCAATGCATTTATGGATGTAATCCTTTACTTATGATACCTAAAACCGTCTAAGCGTGAGTCTTTGAGTGTGACAGTGTAGGGAAGGCTTAGTTGGTTCTACTTCAGAAATGGATTTCAGTTCGCATAATCCTAATTCTACAAATGCATTAAGTCTTGCCGCTAGAAGGAATGATCCGAAATCAGTCCAGCGATTACTCAAAAAAATTAACCCAAACGCGATCGACAACAGGGGTTGGACAAGTTTACACGAAGCTGCAGATAGTGATAGCTATGAATGTGTAGTGCTCATCCTAAACGACCACAGATGTAGACCGCTAGCTGAGACACACGAAGGTCATACTGCTCTGTACTTGGCTTGCAGACGAAGATGTTCTGTGAAAACTATAAAAGCCTTACTCGATGCGGTTGAAGATATTGCAAACTATGGCAGTTGTGAGAATGTCACGCCGTTGCACGTAGTCAGTGCGCAAGGGAGGGTCGAAGTGATACAGTTATTGATAGAATATGGTGCAATTATCGATGTAGAGGATTTCGATGGTGATACACCTTTACATGATGCAGCTCTGGCTAATCAACATGAGTCTGTGGAGTTGCTGTTGCATGCAGGGGCCGATGCTAACATTAGTAATGACAACTTGCTGACACCGTTTCATTTGGCTTGCTCAAAGGGTGGTTACAGATCAGTACAGAATCTTTTCCCTTTTGTTTACAATATCAATCAGCTTGCAACCGGTGATGAGAGTCCTCTAATGCTTGCGATTCGTGGAGGCAGTGAAGATGTGGTTAAGTTTCTATTAGATAATGATGCTGATCATATTGTAAAAAATCAGAATGGACACACTGCTTTAGATATTGCGATGACTTTAGGATATAATAAAATTTTTGAAGAAATTTTGTATGTCACTGATCCAGAAGACATGAATCCAAATATAATACTCTGCGCCTGCAAACCACACTTGTTTAAACTGGAAGTACTCCGGGAGTTATTAAATTATGACTTTGGGCCAGAATTTTTCGATTACACTGAACCGTTTTATGCCCTAATGGAGAAGATTGGTGGTACCAGACCTGAGTATCTGATAAATGCTCCTCTGAATTCATATTTAAATATATGCGAATATATTTACAGACATTCCCCTGAGATGTTCAGAGAATTCTTTTATTTATTCCTCATGAGGGGCGTGGCCGTGAATGCAAATAATGTAGCTGAATGCCCACCTTTGGTGTACTTACATTTCAGTATGCACAATTTATGCTTTAAAGAAGTAAGTGACAGCCTATAAGTATAATAGGTCTTAGTAAAATGGCTTTTTGTATTTTGTACCTTTTATTTAATTGTTGCAGGTGTTCAACATACTCCGGGAACATGGCTGTAATGTAGACTACTGCAGTTCCTCAACTTGCACAGACATGAACAAGTGTTTGCCGGATGCCTTCATTGCGTCATTGACAGCTGACCCTCAAACCATGCCCATAATGATGCAGTACAGTCTCCGTCTTGAGCCCAGATCTTTGATTTCATTTATTTACGACAATGGAATGGCTAATCGACTGTCACTAGTGGTTAGTTAAGACTTTATCTTATAGCAGCCGTAAAATATTTATTAACATGCCCCTTGCGCACACATGCTTGATTGAGACTCAATCATAGGAAACAACACACTATTATATACTTTTTTGTAAAAGAGTATTTTCCTTTTGGGATTAGACTAACATTTTTGTTTTTTTTTTCAGGTGCTGCAAAAGCTCATTTCAATGATTGACTACGGCTGTGAAGATGTGGTGACTGCAGCCACTTTTAGATATGAAGTGCCATCACTGAGGCATTTGGCCAGGCTTCAAGTGCGCTACGTCTTGCGAAACAGAAGCCCACGTATCACATCAACAAAAGAGTACCTAGAAATTCTTAAATGTTTACCTATTCCGCCTTTACTCATAAAATACTTACAATATATGTAATTAATAATTTTGCATGCATAAATGGTTTCACAGCGTGCTATGGAGAGGGCTATGCTCGGCGTTTCTTTACGAGATCGAATCAGAAATGAGATCTTTAAACAAACTAAAGTCACTGACATAGCCCGAAGGATTGTCACATAGTACGCAGAACTGACGGCCGATGGGGCAGCAAGGTTCTGGAATGGAGGCCGCGTACCGGAAAACGCAGAGTCACCCACAAAGTGGACTGACGACATCATAAAGGTAGCAGGGAAGCGCTGCATGCAGGCCGGTATCAAATCTATCAACATGGAAAGCATTGGCCTATGTTCAGCAATGTACGTCCTATAGCTGAAAATAAATGATAATGAAATGGTCTGTAAATATAAATCATGTTTTATTGCATGTAAAAAACATTTATTGTGATAAAATTATAATTTATTGTTACATAATTTTGGCTTCAAAATAAAACATTACAAAGTTTTGAGCTTAATTTATACATAATTTACATTATATACATGTATTCATATACAGTAGAAAAATAATTATTAATACAATACATCATTCATTTCACTTGAAGTTGGCTCCATTTGCCATGAAATCTTCGATCTCAGCCACACTGTAAGTAAAGAAAAATAAAATTAACTACATACCTTAACTAAGTATTTTATTTAAACTCAGTTTTGCCAGACAGTGATTTCTCTGTTCTACCACAGAATAATAATAAGTACCTACCCACAACTACCTACTAATTAAATTACTTTTTTAGGGTTCCGTAGCCAAATGGCAAAAAACGGAACCCTTATAGATTCGTCATTTCTGTCTGTCTGTCCGTCCGTCCGTCTGTCACAGCCTTTTTTTTCCGAAACTATAAGAGCTATACTGTTGAAACTTGGTAAGTAGATGTATTCTGTAAACCGCATAGTTTGCGTGACAGACGCTTCCAAAGTGGAAAAAAGTTGGTCCCCCCCCCTCTAACTTCTAAAATAAGAAAATGAAAAATCTAAAAAAAACATATGATGTACATTACTATAAAAACTACCAACGAAAATTGTTTTGTACGAGATCTAGTAAGTAGTTTTTTTTAAATACCTCGTAAATCGTAAACCGCTTATTACCGCGTAATCTTTCATACTAATAACAAATAAAAAATAATAAATTTAATTTCATAAATCAATGGTACGGAACCCTCGGTGCGCGATTCCGACTCGCACTTGGCCGGTTTTTAAAACCAGTAGTAGCAGGCCTGTTCATCTCCGCGAGTTTACATCGAAAACAAAACACGCACGATGGCCCACCTACAGGATACTATTCGACAAGGCCTCACATACGAGCGAACATTGACTCACGCACGCGTATTCTTGTTTAGGATGGAAGAAGATAAAGAAAATTGTGTACTAAATACTGTGCAGTATTTAACTGCCTAAATAATAATAAAAACACAGAATGTACTTTTTTAAGTTGCCTCAAGACACAGAGGTAAATAAGTAGTTAACATTATTCATTATTATTCAATTCATGCTAAATCATGTATTTCCTCCGCCATTTTCCGCAGTTTGGCACCTCAAGTCACATCATTTTACCGAAGTCAGCCCTATAGTTTCGGCCACAGTTTCGGCGCAGGCGCAGTACCGATCACTGAGGTTTGTCAACAAAATGGTGCTTGACTCTTGAGACAGGCTAAATTACACCATATTGTTAATGACATTGAGCATAATTTTTTTTAAATATCTTCGCGAAGTACGTACGTACGCAAACTTCTGTACGTAGTACTTATTATTATTCTGTGGTAGTAGGAGGAAAATTGCCCCCCCCCCCCCATTAGTCACTACCTAGTCTGATAAATTAACTTTCTATTGATCAACATATTAAAATGACATCATGGACTCAAGCCTTCGCTGTTCTAACCAAATGCGTAACCCATCTGGGAAACAAAATCTCTGATTTGAGTACGGCGGACCATACGCGACAGTGTACAATACGGAGTGTCTATGACAGTAATAGATAAGCAAGCCTGGTTCCTACTACGCAGGACCGGTAAAACTCCCGAAAGGGCTTATTGGCTGTACAATTTATATGAAGCTATTTACATTATCCGCATTTTTACCGAACGTTTTGTCACTGCGAAAGGACAATGACCAAAAATGTATGGAGTGTGGTCCAAATGTCCACCACTAACGAGACCTATGTAGTAAAATAGTCTACTAAATACTGATTCATTATAACCAAACCGCAATCAAAAATATGCTGTCCGTAAAAAGTTATGACTGAATGAAAAATCTGTTTATTACCTTTTTGTCCGAAAAATGTTCTTAATATCATTCTATCCATTGCACATTTTGGACTTATCTACGCATGTTATGTCATGTCGCATGTGGCGCTGGGTNATAATGTGCCTACAACTTTGTACGCGTGAAAATAGTTTGAATAATATTTCCCATTTTTACAACATTTGTCTTTACTTCTCCGCCCCTATTGGCTGTAGGATGATGTTATTTATCCTAAAATCATCCTTGATAAATGGGCTATCCATAACAAAAATAATTTTTCAAATCGGACCAGTAGTTCTTGAGATTATCGCGTAAACTACTACAATTTTTAAACGGTCATAACTTTTTACTGACAGCTTATTTTTTTTTCGTCCCATACTGAAAGTTAATCTCTATTTAATGGACTATAAGCCAATGTAGGTCTCATTGGTGGTGGACATTTGGACCACTTTTGGTCATTGTCCTTTCGGCAGAATCACCTGACCGGAGCAGTGTGACAGTTTTTCCGGCATCGGTCCCCCGCCTCCCCTCGCGTCATTCGCCTCGCATTTTTTTATAAAAGTAGACTTGTCAACTGTACGATTTTCTTGTGGGATCCGGCGTAATGTAAACACTGTCCGGCGTACGGTTTCCGGCAAATTTGCCGGTCCGGCGTAGTGGGAACCGGGCCTAATGGCCAGAGAATACGGAAACTGCGTCAAGAAAAAAGCTAGAGCCAAGGCATATAAAGACAGACTGCAGCTACACCCAAACATATTGGCACACCACCTTATGGATGACATAACTCCGAGTGTCCGGAGACTTAAAAAAAGAGTACCAGGACATGTCACAGGATATGCACCTCAATTTTCATTAATGAATAAAAAAAGAAATATTGCTGAATGTCCTCCTAAAGACAGATTGCAATAGAATGGAAAAAAATATCCTTCAATTATGTACGAGCTCTAATCTCTAATGTTATATCCACTTACGTTCTCGGCACGAAGGTAAGGTTCTCCACGCCGTCCTCGGTGATCAGTACGTCGTCCTCGATGCGCACGCCGCCGAAGCCGCGGAACTTGTCCACCATGGGCCAGTTGAAGAACTCCGATTGAGACGGGTTGTTCTTAGCTCCGTCTAGAAGCTGTACGGAGAAACACATTATGAATTCAATTACATTTGGCAACTCTTAATCATTGTGAAAGGTGGGTCGACAAGAAAAGTTAATTTCACAATTTTTCCTTGGGTTGTCTTTGACCTTACTCAGGTGGTCATGGTCATGGTCAAAGATAACTTCACTATGTTCTTTAATGGTACTGCCCGGAGTACTTACAGTCCAAGTGACTATCGGACACATAAATGCGAACATCAGCTCTGTAATCCATTTTGTCGGCATAAGGAGTGTTGGAGTATCCAGAGCGAGGAGTGCAGATTTGCCTCTGATAAATTAGAGGGTTGTAGTCTTGTAGTGGAGACTATCCCACCATACTTTCCCACAACTGCAACTCCTGTATAGCCAAGATCTAGTGCTTGGCCTCCAATGAAACCCAACCAGTGAAGGTTGAGTAATAGTCCCGGGGGGACTAATAAATGGCCTAATGATGATGGGTAACATCCGTACTGAGCGGCCTATTTGTCACTGTAAAGGCTAGTGCTGGGGGAAACTTCTCCACTTTCTTCCCCCAGCACTCCCAGTCTTTCATCTCTGTCCCCCCCTGACCCACCGTGAGCAGGCTTCTTTACCGCCCGAGCCCGGCGGGTAACTCCACCCACTCTCGGCTGTGGCACGCCCGCCGGTACCAAGGGTCGACACACCGAAAAACTATGTACTGGCTTTAGTTAGTCAATAAGTTCTTATGAACGTCCTTAACCCCTAATACATTTAAAAGTTGTGGCTAAAATGGATGCTGAAAAAAAATGACGATGGGTAGGTACAGTAGCTTACCCTGGGTATGAAGTAGCAGCCGGGCTCCACAGTGAGCAGCATGGCGGACTGCAGGCGGCGCGCCGTGCGCAGTGCGCCAGGTACCAGTTGTTGACTATAATGCGGTACACCTGGGACAAACAGTTCAGCTAGGTGTGAACACTCACCCTGGGTATGAAGTAGCAGCCGGGCTCCACAGTGAGCAGCATGGCGGTGCGCAAACGCGCCAGGTACTAAAGCCTGGCTCGCGCACTCACTTCGGGCGCCCGTCGCACAGTCGCGACAGCAATATAATTACGCGCGAGCGATAAGGATGGGTAGCTTGGGGTCATTGGACAAAATTCTACGTACGGACCGGGCTTTAGTCAATAAGTTCTTATGAACGTCCTTAACCCCTAATACATTTAAAAGTTGTGGCTAAAATGGATGCTGAAAAAAAATGATGATGGGTAGGTACAGTAGCTTACCCTTGGTATGAAGTAGCAGCCGGGCTCCACAGTTAGCAGCATGGCGGACTGCAGGCGGCGCGCCGTGCGCAGTGCGCCAGGTACCCAGTTGTTGACGAGTATAGTGCACCTGGGGCAAACAGTTCAGCTAGGTACGGGCACACCCTCGGGATAAAGTAGCAGTCGGGCTCAATGGTTAGCAGCATAGCAGGAAGCAGGCGGCGCGCTGTACGTAGTGCGCCAGGTACCTAGTTGTTGACGATAATGCGGTACACCTGGGACCATCAGTTCACTCACCCTGGGTATGAAGTAGCAGCCGGGCTCCACAGTGAGCAGCAAGGCGGTGCGCAAGCCCTCCGGGTACCTAGTTGACGATAATGCGGTACAGCTGGGGCAAACAGTTCTACAACAGCGGGGCAAACAGTTCAGCTAGGTATGAACACTCACCCTGGGTATGAAGTAGCAGCCGGGCTTCACAGTGAGCAGCATGGCGGTGCGCAAACGCGCCAGGTACTAAAGCCTGGCTCGCGCACTCACTTCGGGCGCCCGTCGCACAGTCGCGACAGCAATATAATTACGCGCGAGCGATAAGGATGGGTAGCTTGGGGTCATTGGACAAAATTCTACGTACGGACCGGGCTTTAGTCAATAAGTTCTTATGAACGTCCTTAACCCCTAATACATTTAAAAGTTGTGGCTAAAATGGATGCTGAAAAAAAAATGATGATGGGTAGGTACAGTAGCTTACCCTGGGTATGAAGTAGCAGCCGGGCTCCACAGTGAGCAGCATGGCGGACTGCAGGCGGCGCGCAGTGCGCAGTGCGCCAGGTACCCAGTTGTTGACAATAGTATGGTACACCTGGGGCAAACAGTTCAGCTAGGTGTGAACACTCACCCTGGGTATGAAGTAGCAGCCGGGCTCCACAGTGAGCAGCATGGCGGACTGCAGGCGGCGCGCAGTGCGCAGTGCGCCAGGTACCCAGTTGTTGACAATAGTATGGTACACCTGGGGCAAACAGTTCAGCTAGGTGTGAACACTCACCCTGGGTATGAAGTAGCAGCCGGGCTCCACAGTGAGCAGCATGGCGGACTGCAAGCGGCGCGCCGTGTGCAGTGCGCCAGGTACCAGTTGTTAACTATAATGCGGTACACCTGGGACAAACAGTTCAGCTAGGTGTGAACACTCACCCTGGGTATGAAGTAGCAGCCGGGCTCCACAGTGAGCAGCATGGCGGTGCGCAAACGCGCCAGGTACTAAAGCCTGGCTCGCGCACTCACTTCGAGCGCCCGTCGCACAGTCGCGACAGCAATATAATTACGCGCGAGCGATAAGGATGGGTAGCTTGGGGTCATTGGACAAAATTCTACGTGCTCACGGACCGGGCTTTAGTCAATAAGTTCTTATGAACGTCCTTAACCCCTAATACATTTAAAAGTTGTGGCTAAAATGGATGCTGAAAAAAAATTTATGATGGGTAGGTACAGTAGCTTACCCTGGGTATGAAGTAGCAGCCGGGCTCCACAGTGAGCAGCATAGCAGGGAGCAGGCGGCGCGCCGTGCGCAGGCGAGCGAGGGGCCCGGCGGGGCGCGGGGGGCAGTGCGCCAGGTACCCGCCCACGTCGTGCACGTCCAGCCCTAGTAAGTGACCGAGACCGTGCGGCTGCAGGATGCCGTTGACCCCGTTCTGTTTACAAGTTAGAATGTCGATGAGCCTCTTATAGAATAGCTGGTTACAGAATAGGGAGGGGTTGAATATCATTGGATTCACATTCTGTCGCATATTTACTGTTTTTTTATTATAAAATCACAAAATGTAATATTTCTTCGAAACTAAGCAAATCCAACTACTAGTTCCTGCATCAATTTTATACATATTAGTAATATCTAACGATTGAATTAATAAAACACGGATGTCCGCTTCTAAGGCAAAATAAAACACTGTGCACACTTCATTATAAACAGGAAAACTTTGTTTGTTTGTTTGGTTGTAATGAATAGGCTCAAAAACTACTGGACCGTTTTTAAAAATTCTTTCACCATTCGAAAGCTACATTATCCACGAGTAACATAGGCTAAATTTTATTTTGGAAAAAAATAGGGTTCCGTAAAATATGTAGATAATGTAGTCCACGCGCGCGAAGCCGCGGGCGGAAAGCTAGTGTGTGATAAAAATCTATGAGATATTATGTAAAAGCGAAATATCACTCACTGATTAATCACGAAATCTCAGAAACTATAACACCTACGACTTGAAATTTTTCCTTATAGGGTGTAGACATCCTCTAAGAACGGATTTTACGAACTCCACCCCTAGGAGAGTAAAATGGGGTTCACGCGTACGAAGCCGCGGCTAGTTATTTATAAGTTTTAATATTTCATTAGCAGTGAAGTAGTATTTGTTTAGACTTACTTCGATCATAGCCTCAACGTCGCCTTTTAGCAGACCACCCTTTTTCAGGTGCTCCAGCATAGCCCTGTTAGCCGTCAAGTGCATATCGGTCCATAAGACTCCAGGCTTTGCTTCTCTGTTAAAAATACATTAAGACACGAGTGAATAAAAGTAATTAATAAGATGTTGTTAAAGAGTAACATTGTGGCCAATTAGCAGCAGCTCAATGCTGACAATAAAATAATGACAGATGTCAAACCTGTACGAAACGTTCAAATACGAGGCGCTCGCGCTGTTTGGCGCGCTGATTTATGGTGATTCGATTTTTACTAAAGTTTATGTAATTACATTTTATTGAGTAAACTTTATCTGTTGACTTTGGTTCGAGTATTTTATTTATGAATCTGTGTTAATACTATAATAACGAAATTATTGCAGAGATTTCTGCAGGATATTGCAAAATATTGTGGCTGTGTTGCACCACCTAACTTTGACCGTAACTTTAAAGATAACCGGTGTTTTTGTATAAAGTTGTAGATTTTTGACGTTTGTCAAAGTTAAAGTAAGATGGTGCAACCCAGCCTAAAAACTTTCCTCGGTTACATAAGGTAGGTAACTTTTTCAATGAACCCAAACTTACCTAAGCACCGCGTCTCTGGCGAACAGCACGGCCTCATAGATGAGTTTCTGGTCGTCGGTGAACTTGCCGTTGGCGGGAAACGAGCACGTGATGTCCGCCGCGTAGCCCGCGTAGTTACCGCCCATGTCGAACAGGCTGCAACACGGTTAAGGCTGATTTAGGTTAAAATTATAATATAATCAACGCAGTGTGTCAAAATTACCGTCAAAATTCTGAAAGGCAACTCAATCATTTCACAAGTCGAAAAAAATGCGGTCCTGGAATGTGCTTATTCAGGGTACACACAGGTTTACACACACTACACAGTATGAATTTGGTGTTCATAAAATCTCACCAGGGTACGAAGTCAATCTGTGGTGGAGCGAGCTTCTCGCCCAGAAGACGCCTGTTCCCTCATCCTTGAAGGCCTTATTGCCCACGCGGTAACAGTGGTCAGTGAACACAGATTCGCACTGGTACCACCCACATTCACCACATGTCCCCGTTCGCAATGATTTTAGTGTTGGGCGCGGCGGCGTGACCGTAGTGTAGTGTCGCGGCGTTGTCCCCTGAGCCACAGATGCAAGTGTACGACACGTGGCGACAGCCGCCCACGTGATCAATGTACACAGACTCGCACTGGTACCACCCATACTCACCACATGTCCCCGTTCGCAATGATCTTAGTGTTGGGCGCGGCGGCGTGACCGTAGTGTAGTGTCGCGGCGTTGTCCCCTGAGCCACAGATACAAGTGTACGACACGTGGCGACACCCGCCCACGCGGTAACAGTGGTCGAGGAACACTGACTCGCACTGGTACTCCATAAGGCCGGGCTTGGCGTGGAGCATCACCTGGAATTTTATATTGTTTTTCGTATTTTTGTTTCATTCTGATGTAGTAGTAGTAAAGCGGTCATGGTCATGGTAAAGGTCGGCAGACGATGCGAACGGGAGGAGTAGATGGAGAGTGGATTGGATACAATAGTCAATTAACATACTTTTTATGAGTAGACATGTCATAAATATGCGATTCTTCCATCGATTTGGCATTGACGTCATTCATAAGTCGCAAACTCAATTGAATGACAATTTATTGATTTAAAACTCATACTTAAGTCATGTGTTTCGATGGACGCTAAGAACAAACTTTTGTAAGAGCACACAAAACATTTTCAATGTATCGCTGTTGGTTTCTATAAAATAAATAAATAAATAAAATTGTGCATTTAGGAGAAGTCTGTTTACCTGTTTATGGGCGTCAGACGATATTTTGCATACATAACGCATAACTTCGATTTCAGCTGGTGTTTTGATGACACGACTGAAACATAATACACGTTCCAATAATGTTTATCTGTGTACGTATAATATAAAAATACAGGGCGTTTAAATACTTTCAATTCATGCCTTCTCATCAAAATTTACGACTGCATGATGATTTAATGAGACTATAAATCANAATAAATATTTTTTTCCGATGCGCAATAAAATTCGCCCGCTGTGTCCTGAAGAAAAAAATTTTTTCACCTACTTTTTGCGAAAAAAGTACCATACAATATTATATTTTTATAATCCTGATAAATGTAGCTTTCAGGTCATATTTTTTTTATTAGATTATCTTCAGTGGTTTAAAAGTAAACGACGTTTATTTAAAAAAATACTTTTTGATTTTTGTGAATTTTACTCAATATTTCAATTTTTTTGTATGAAAAGGCAAAAAGTTTGTTCTAGAAATGAATTCGCCATCCTTTAATTATCCGAAAATGATACCACACTTGCCCTAATACCCATAGTTTTGAAGATATGGGTCTTAAAGTGAAGCGCGGCGGAAGGAAACTTGCCCCCCCTCCCCCTGCTACCACAGGGGGGGCTCCCGATGTCTACCGACGGAAATCCACTCAGGAGCACCCAAAGAAACACTGTTGCAAAAATGAGCCTTCTATACCAAAGTGGAGGGGTCTCCATACAAATCATTGCACTAAATTCCCTACTAATTATAATTATTTATTGTTTGTAACAACACAGAATTTGGTAACAATAACAACTATTAATTCTGTGTGTCATATGTCTGACCCCATTAAAGTTATGAATTAAGCAAGAATTGAATTAATCAACATTCTGTTTGTATGTACATCGGCGTAAATATTTTGCTACCTATTGTGTAAAATGCTACAAGTGTAAATAAGCTTGACCTCAATAAAAACATAAACATTGTTTCAAGCACTTCAAGCAATTGATAAAAATTATACAATCAACATTTAAGCCAAGTATTGAAGTAAACAAAAGTTTCTTAGGCACCTTAATATTTTCTTTTCTGATAGGTGATTGAATCTGATAACAGTGCAGGATAGTAATTCGGGCTTAATTAAATACCACTTGAGTTTCGATAATCATAATTATGATAAGTGTATTATCATAAATATTTACTTACAGCTCGGCGATTATCGGGAATAATATTTCGTTGTCGACCTTGAATCTGAAATCAATTAGAATTATGAAATACATTAACTAAGTACTTATTTAATTTCTGGTACAAGTAACTTTATACATTTTAGATAATTATTTACTATAGTATAATTTCAGTTAGTAGGTACTCACTCATCAATTCCTTCAAAAACTGCTTCTTTGGCAGTTAAACCACTGTCAGTGTTAGTTCCACTCTGAAATTTAGAGTAAATATGAAAGTTTGTTATTGAATACAACATACACAAACACATACAGGAATCAAATGATGAAAGAAAAGGCCAAATTCTTACCAGTGTCAAAAGGACTTCCGGTTTTAGAGATTTGAGTACATCTCGTATCTGAAAAAGAAATTCTTACGTAATAATTAGGTACTTAATATAAATTCTAAATTATATAAACAGACATTTTTAGAAATAAATAAAACCATTTTTTTTTTTACATTGGGAATTGGGACTACATTTTGATAGGTTAAAAGAAAATAATATAATAGTAATTTAATATTTACCTCATCGACATAATGTACTTCATCTACGCCATAGATGTTCTTGAATTGGCCACAAGATAGGAGTTTGCCCATCCACACTTCATATTCTTCAGGCAGGCGTGGCACAAACAGGTGTCCCTTGCCAGTGCTCACGTCCAGAGCGAAGTAGCATCCTGGCTCTCTCACTCCGGACAGCCAAATGAAGTATGCTTCCTAAAACATTCAAATAATTATGTTGTGGGTTAACCGTAAGAGTTTTGTATCAGACATTGCCTTACTTTCTTTTGATGAAAAATTTTATGAATTTATTGTATGTATGTAAAGTAGTCTTATGTAGGACAACTTTAAGCACAGGTCAGGCACAGTAATGGAGGTCAACCATAAGTTGTAACTTGCAACCAAGTGCAAATTGGAGATAACATAATTATTATAAAAGTACTACAACTATGAATAAAGCAATTTAGGTTTAAAATGGCAGTAAACATTTCAAATGTACAAAATAGCTATGTAATTACGTCACATTTGCAAATTAATACTCATCGGCTATTAAACTTTGTATTTGTACAGTTGGCTTGAGTACAATAGAAAGTCACTTTGGCAAAGTGACATTCCGATATGATAGGTAATAAAGGGTCAAATAAAATACTGCTAATTATTTGTTGAGAAACATAAACAGCATTATTGCATTTAGTTAACAAAGAAATCATAAAAAATATATTATTAATGTTTTATTCAGAACTTTGATGACAAAAGTACAAACAAAAGTTTAATTTCCATTATGGTTATTGAAACCAACTGTGGTTCACAAAATAAGTATTATGGGTACTTAAGTACAGAATATGGAATAGAAATCTTTGTTCAGAGTATGTACTGTAACTTGTCATTTACTCACTTGCCTAAATACATATTGCACATCTGTATCATAGTGGTTGATATCTTCACCCCCTTGCAAGACTACCACCTGTCCAGGATTCAATTTTTCAGCCAGTCTCTGTCTGTTTGTAGCAAACAAAGAAAGGGGCACTTCCAGAGTACCAGGACCCATAGACCACGTCGACGCCATTCTCACTGATAATGCACTGAACTTTGATGCTGTTGTTAGCCGGTATAGAGCTATACAGTTACTATGACTCGATAAAATTGATAAGCAACGATTATTGTGATAACACCACGAAGTAACTTTTGCTCTACTGCGTTCTATTGAAAGCAAAATATGATTGTTGAATCGACACTTTCTTCCTAGTTTACTAATAGTATTTCTAAGTTGGCTGCTTATCAACATTTAAAACTATTTGTTTTTATCACTTTGATCTTTGATGAACAATTTTTTTACCGATTTGGTTCTATGTTCATTTTTCAGTTAGTATTATGGAAATAAATCTTATTTTATAACTTTTGTTCATGTATTTTCAATGGTATTTTCAGTGAATTCGGATAAATTTATCGAATTAAATTAAAAGGAACAAGACTACAGCTGTGACAGCTGTCGCTGTCATTTTGACATTCCAATCAAACACTAGTACGTACTTTAGACAGTAGAGGTCGCTGTTTAATTTTTACTGCTACTCAACAACAGGTGGCACTAGTAGTATGATTTGTTGATCTCAGTAACTTTTGCCCGCGGTTTTGCCCGAGCTCTTGTTAAAGAGTATTAAAATATTCATAAGAGAGTATTATATTCTTTGTGCCCGAGTAAAATCCAAGTTTCATCAAAATCCGTTCTGTAGTTTTTGCGTGACAGAGTAACAAACATCTATTCTCCTAAAATTTCACATTTATTTATAATGTTAGTAAACATAAAGATAAACATAAAATTAAAGTAACCAAAATTTTATACTACCTAAATATTAGGCAAGAATTTGTTTGTGTGAATTCATAAACACGTTTTTGCAGGCTTTATAACAAAAACCAAAAAAGGACATTAATTTATCAAGAAACTGCCATTTCTTAAGCATTTCCAAATTAAAATATTTGTTATTGAAATAAAATAATGGTGTGGCTATTTTACTTTATCTACTTATGGCAGTAAAGAAATGGCAAATGTAGTAGGGTAACGTAAATGAAAGTTAAACATAAAATTCTTTGAAATTATTTCCATTTATTACTTAATTATTATCTAAATCACAAGATCGACGATAAATTAAACTATCTAAAAATCACAAAATGCACTAAAACATGCACACATGTAATATTACAATGATTTTTATACCTGGTTTTGGTACAATTATTGTACATAGTTGTCACTTATTGTAACACTCATACAGGTATTTTATTATAAATTAATATTGCCTAAAATTGCCTAAGTATAAGCACGTTGTCAGTCGCAACGAAAAATATCCACTAACCACATTACAATTGAGATTGTAATGTACATTTTCTGTAGTCTACATTAGGTACTCACACATGCAATGAAGTAACTGTACATATTACTAACAAATAGGAATTTACTGTTATTCTCTACAATCACTTTTTGAAAGCTATTTGGCATAAGATAGTACACAATACATTATCTCAAAGAAGAGCGATACAATGACTTAAAAGTAATAAACACTATGAGAAGTATGTATTAGATAACATTTTACTATAATTGTGTGCGATAGGATATTTTACTTAAATACAAAACTGAATTGAGATTAATTATATTCTAAATTGAAAAGCTAATAATGAAATAAGTAATCGATAGTTAAAGCTCTCAAATACTTTATAATACAGTAATTGTTCAATATTATTTATTTAAAGTTTATGACGAAAATGCCTCGAAGTGACAGTCAGCCACTAAATTGTAGGTAAATAGTTATTATAGAAATAGGTTATTTATTATTAACAACAATACCAAACGCTAGTTACGTCATCCAGTACTTTGATCAGTTAAGGTCACTATAAAATGAAGAATAAATATTATGATTGTAGAGTATGCGCGGCCATTTTGGTTCGTTCTCGTGACTCGTGTCGTGTGTGACACGTCATATCTGGCCGTCTCACTCCCGCACGTTCTCTGCATATAGCACCATTGTAACCCGACACGTTTCTTACACACAAGCGATTTCACAACACGTTCCACACTTTCACAACTAAAATGTTTTGTTTATAAATTATGAATCTACTGATATCTCATGACATGTTTGTTTCTTTTCTTGAAGTCTCCTTACGGCCTCGGCGACAAGGGCACGCTGTTCCAAGAGCCGTTCCACGAGATCGACAGGTTCTTGCTTTCTAATATAGTAGGGAGCCGCTCTTGCTCGCGCTTGCAGGTGGAGCTTTTGTTTCAGGCCAAGGGTAAGTTCCTCTATAGCAGGTAACCTACTTGATGCTAGGGGACGTCCTTCTTCTCCAGATGAGTGCCTGTGGTCGTATCTGGACTTCTCTTTCAACATAGTGGAGATTGCACTACTCCAGTGGCAATTTTAACCAAACAGGAATTAAAGATTTCACCGGCTCAGTGGGCGGCGCGCGACAAGGTTTGCGAATACGGAATGAATGAGCGAGTGAGCCGACTCGACCCAAGCGTAGGAAAGACGGGTCTCCGCGGGTGCAGACGGGTGGGGGTATGACGTAGCCAGATGCGCAGTCGTGCCGGGCTGTATACAAACAATACGATGGACGTAAATAAACACAAGACGATACAGTAATGTGAACGGTGTTATCTTTGTGTTAGTGGCTCAGCCTGTCGGGCGGACTGGTTCAACGGCTAGGTTGAGAAAAGATTTTTAGGGAACGCCAGACGGCAGGTGATCTGCTTATAAATATAAATAAAATCACTAATTCAACTAACATTAATAACATCGATCGAGGTCATATACCTACAGTAGGTACACGATAAAATCACATGGTGTATAATCTCATAGATATCTATCACAATTCACAACATACCTACAGGCGGCTAACTGATAAATCAATATTTATTGTTTACAAATTGTTAATTGGACATAATGCGATAGTTGAAAGATTTAAGTAGGCAGGAAATACAATTAAAACTACGCATTTAAGCGAAATTAAGTAAAACGAATTTTGCAGAATTTTTTGGAAATCAACTTATTCTGAGGTGTAGTAATAAATGGTGACACACGCCGCTTTTCCTTACCTACTTAAGTAGTTGAATAGAACAATGCCGAAAATGATTATCTTACAAACTATCTGCCAGATGAGTCAATGTGTTTGTAATGATTTCGCGTGTAGTGGTATTCTTCCGTTTCGTTGAACCAAACCTAAAACCGGACATTGCCCTCTCCGTGCTTTTTTCATTGCGGGCCGCCCGCACCACAGCGTTGGTTTTTATTTATGACCACGTGTTTGGAAAATTACTGATGTCTCAAACGCCTAGTAGGCATTAACTAGACTAGACAACAAATAGGTGCAATATGTGTTATTGAAATTAGTGACTTAATAAGCCATCTTTCGTCGTAAAATTAATACATTTTGAAAATATTTTTTCATGAAAATACTTTATTCAAAGAAACATCTTTATGTCGTAGTCATTATGACTATTATATTTAAGAATTTACTATGTTAATAACGGTGACTAAGCTATTATTCTGATTAGGTACTTAGTCATAAAATGTAATAACAAACAGTTTTGTAACTTAAACATTTCAACCGTAAATAAATTACCACAAGGAAAATAATAAACGATAGTTTTGTTTACTAAAACATTATGTATGGCCATTTATATAGCATAGGCCTAAAATATTCGACCAGGCATAGCAGGATATTATTATGTATTAAAATACCACAGCCTTTGAGTTAAGTGTAAAGTGACTCATTTCTTCAAGCAAAACCTTTCTAATCTTTACACTTAAACAGGAAATCTCTGTTACAAAATAATCTGAAATTTTAAATTTACAATCATTTTTGATGTGTCTTCTTGATAAGTATTATCTAAGCCTATTGACCTTTTGCGAGATAAAATCAATAAATTATGGTGCTATTTTTATTACTTCGGCGTAAGTTACAATGTAGCTCTTATTAACTGAGTCAGAAAGTTCAAATTTCTAAAATCATGACGTCACCTACATTTATTCCGACAGAATAAAAGACTGATAGCGCCATCTAGCGGAGAGTAGTTTAATTTCATAGCTAGGGTTCTTACTCGGTCCAGCTTGGCGCGACATTTGAAAAATTGTATTAATAAATTAAATTACTGAAACAAAATCAAATCGTGTGCCCATTATTTTATTAATATTCGTATTGTAGAAAATCACAGAGACAGAACGACGAATAGTTAACATAATTATTTAGACAGATTGAAGAAATCCTTATAATTTAGAACATTTTGAGTTGAATACTTAGGTACCTGCATCATGGTAGGGTACTATTATTTATTCTGTGCCTGCACTCAGAGAATCACCTATTTCCAAACCCGATTTGTAAATAAGTACAATGATTGAATAATTGTTAGATTAATAAATCAATCAATGTACCTAAATCACTCTGGCATGTCTTACTAACGGCAGGCCTGGCTCACTCCGCGCGGTACATCCGATAATTACCTACAGCGAAGCGCCCCGCCGGCGCACAGTGATCAATAATCAGAATTTAGGATGACAAAAATATTTTAATCTGAAATTACAATTATCTAATAATGTTATTGAAAATATCATTAAGTAAATAAATATTTCTTTATTAAAATAATGTATTTGAGACTACAATCTTAAAAAACCGGCCAAGTGCGAGTCGGACTCGCGCACCGAGGGTTCCGTACAAACCTGTAGGTATATAACTTTGATTTTGTTACAGCTTAAAGGTACTATGGACCTGATTATTTAATATGAATTTCAATTAAATACCTCTACGCGTTCATGAGGAAAGTAGTAGACTTTAAAATTCTCATTTTATCACTTTGGAAGAATCTCTCGCGCAAACTATTCAGTTTAGAAAAAAATGATATTAGAAACCTCAATATCATTTTTGAAGACCTATCCAGAGATACCCCACACGTATGGGGTATCCTTCCGTTTGGCCAAATTACTTTTCGCCAAATTTCACTTCGCAAACAACTTATCGCCAAAGTTTCATTTCCCAAATGAACTTTTAGCAACTGTACTTTTCGCAACTAATTCATTTGGTCAAATTATCATTTGGCAAAATTTTACTTGGCAAATGTTTAAATAGCAAATGTTTTATTTTGCCAAATATTATATCCCAAAATTCCCAAATAATTTGTTTGGTCAAATTGACACTTCACATACTTACCCACCGTTACCCACAAATCAAAGCATAAGGCACATAATCATGGTTTTCACAAGAATTTTATGTATAACAAAGATTGCAAAAAATAGTATGGTTGCAAAAAGTAGGTATTGCAGAAAATAGTAGGTTAGGTTAGGTTAGAACAGTGACCCTTAATGCGCGAAGGCGAGCGAAGCGTGCCGCGGCAGCGGCCGCCGAGCGCTAGAATCGCCTCTATTTTGGAAATTTCGATAAAAATAATGAAATAAGAAAATTAATTTACAACAAGTTTTATATTAACTACCCACTAAACAAAATAATAACCACAAGCTAATTTATATTCCATTCTATGCACCAATCAAATTATTTTGTAAATAGTTTATCGTGGAACATTTTTGCCAAATGAAACATTTGGCAAACCATACTTTGCCAAACAATAATTTGCTAAACAATAATTTGCCAAAAACGACATTTGCTAATTAAAAGTTTGCAATAAGTTGTTTTGCCAAATGAGAATTTGCCAAATGAAAATTTGCGAAACGTTGTTTGCGATGTGATAATTTGGGAAACGTTTTTTGGCCAAACACTAATCCGTATCAAGTACATAGAGCATTGGTTCCCAAAGTGGGGGGGCGCCCCCCCGGGGAGGCGCAAAGACCTTTTTTTAAAGGGGGGCGCGGGCCATCTGTGTACCTACTTAAGTATAAAAAAAACCTGCGACCGCTGAAAGAATGCATTCTATACTGCTCGATATGACCAATAAATAATCTTGACTGGACGAGGGGGGGCGCGGATTATTTTTATGGTTGAAAGGGGGTACGTCTCAAATAAGTTTGGGAACCCCTGATAAGTCAGGGGTAGAGGAACATAAATTTTATTTAATAATTTAAAACATTCGGCAATTAGGTATCTATGTCCTTTAAATGTCCTTAAGTATTCGAGTTTGGACCATTGCGAATTTGCGACACGCATCCTAATCCTAAGTAAGTACGGAACAAGTTACGTTTAAATATTATTACGAGTATACAATCATAAGCAACAGACAGACATTATGGACTGGTAGAAGAGTTAATTTATCGAAGCATTAAGTCGGCCGGTTAGTTAGTACCTACCTGTTGTTAAGCAAAGTTACTCCATTTGGTATACTAGTGTTGTATTGTAACTCAATAAACGAGTAAGTAGGTAGGTACTAGGTACCCAATATTTGTAGGTTTAAATTAATATGTTGTTTGTAAATAATTATTCTTGATTAAATATATGTATCATGCATTGCATGGTACCTCTTCTGATAAAAGTAATTTAAGTTATTTTTCTCATTGCCCGTGCCATACAAAATTCGAGACCAGATTCCAGAAGTTTCGTGGTACGTACCTACTTTAGAACAATAAGTCAATCACCGATTGATTGGGTTCGGGACGAACTCTACCTTTTCAGGTAAAAAGTTTTATGCGTGGTACTTATTTACTTACTCGTAGGTAACAGAAAGATACAGGTAGTCGTTAATAGCGCAGTTCTGTTAACTGACTGAGCAGTATAACTTGCCACTATGCTTGGCGTTCGTGGACTATGAGAAGGCCTTCGATTCGATTGAGACTTGGGCAGTGTTACAATCTCTCCAGCGGTGATGCCGTAATGACTATCGGTATATCGAGGTGCTGAAGTGCTTGTACAAAAACGCCACCATGTCGGTCCGAGTACAGGAGCAGAGCACGAGGGCGATTCCACTGCAGCGAGGCGTTAGGCAGGGAGATGTTATATCTCCGAAACTGTTCACCGCTGCATTGGAAGACGCTTTCAAACTCCTGGAATGGAAAGGATTCGGCATAAACATTAATGGCGAGTACATCACTCACCTTCAGTTTGCCGACAATATTGTGGTCGAAGACCTTAATCGAGTTTCCCAACAGGTAGGCCTGAGGATGAACATGGACAAAACCAATGATATTATATACAATATCATTGGACAAAACGAAGCTTATGTCGAATGTCCATGTTGCGCCCTACCCAGTTTCAGTTGGGAGCTCAATTCTCGAGATTGTCGACAAGTATGTCTACCTCGGACAAACGATCCAGCTAGGTAGGTCCAATTTCGAGAAGGAGGTCAATCGTCGAATCCAACTCGGCTGGGCAGCGTTCGGGAAACTACGCAACATCTTTTCGTTCAAAATACCTCAATGCCTGAAGACTAGAGTGTATAACCAATGTGTGTTACCAGTGATAACTTATGGCTCGGAAACGTGGCCTCTCACTATAGGCCTTATACAGAAGCTCAAAGTTGCACAGCGTGCTATGGAGAGGGCTATGCTTGGTGTTTCTTTGCGATATCGAATCAGAAATGAGGAGATCCGTAAACGAACCAAAGTCGCTGACATAGCCCGACGGATTAGCAAGCTGAAGTGGCAATGGGCAGGGCACATAGTAGGTACGCAGAACTGACGGCCGATGGGGCAGAAAGGTTCTGGAATGGAGGCTGCGTACCGGAAAACGCAGCGTGGGACGCCCACCTACAAGGTGGACCGACGACATCGTAAAGGTAGCAGGGAAGCGCTGGACGCAGGCCGCTACCAATCGATCAACAGGGAAAGCATTGGGGGAGGCCTATGTTCAGCAGTGGACGTCCTATGGCTGAAATGATGATGATGATGAGTCGTTAATAAATGAACAAATACCTAGTTGCAGCTAGTCCTAGGGTTGGATGCATCATGATTATTTTTGGTTTTAACATAGGGTAATATAGTTTGTTGATGAAGTTTAGATTCTACCAAGTTGAACCACCAACTAAACTCCTTACATCACTACGGACACCAATTTGTGTTGCGCAGACCAACAAAATGTCGAAAGAAAGTGAGCGCAACGTGCGCTACGCTGGTGGTAGGCGACAGTGTTGCTCGCGGTCCTCGCCTCAACACCCGCCGCGCGATTAATTCGCGTCGCTCATTCACGCGCGTTTTAAAAATAAAACGCGATTCAAAGTTTTGAATTAAGAATGTTTTGAGTTCCAATTTTTTTTTATGTCACATAAAAGTTTAATAAATGAAGTTACAATGACTTCTAAGATGGATTTGCTCCAGGAAGGAGATGCTGGCTCGCGATCTTTAGCCGCTCGCCACATAAGTGTTGGTAATACTGTTACGGGATTGAACAATGGAGTCAATACAACACTTCTTTGTCATAGTTACAGTGTGCAACCCGACTTCGGGTCTTACTTAGCAGGTAAGATATTGGGATTCCGGAAAGACGTCTTCAAGAAAGAAGTTGGGTCAAGGCTAACAACTTAACTTTCTACTATGCACGCCCATGTAAAGGATGTTGTAGTGGACTGACTTTCAACATTAATAAAATAACTAAATTGGCCATAAAACGAGTGCTTCAATAACCTGTAATGCATAAATAGGAAGTTATTATTCCTAAGTATGTATTGTTCTGCCAAATATTAATGATGATGATGAAAAAATACTGCTTAACATTGAATAATTATTTTCATTAGATGGCACTTTCATTGTTTTCATAATGAAAGATCAACCAAACGTAGAGTTACACTTAGCCATTATTAAAGGCCAGCTTCCTCCTTTCTCTGGATTATCTGATAGAGATCACTTCCTATCAATAAGATCCTCTATTATAACATTACAAGAAAAATGTACTAAGTATTATTGTACGTAGGACCATACGTTACAATAATACTTAGGTACATTTTTACAAGCATCTGTTTCAGTTTCAAGTAGGATATTATGTGTATTTTCTATTAATTTACAATGTGATAGAAGAGAGATCCCTTGCCAAAATAGCGGCTATACTTAGTTGTAATCCTACTGTAATGTAAACATGCAATACCCTTATTAGTTATTACCCGACTGCGCCAGAATGGGTTATGATTTTTAGTTTTTTGCCGTCAGAAATAGTAAGTAGCTGTAACTACTTGCATTATACAGGGTGTCCCAAAATTAGCACGTCACACTGACTGGAGGTAGTTGAGTCTAAGACGCATCGAATAGAAAAGTTTGATGAGTTTTGAAATATGACTCATATTAGTTATTTTAAAAAATGGACTTAATATACTTGTAAAAATAAAATAACAACCCACAGCGTGACTTACACCTACAGTTCCACCTGAAAACGTCCCAGTAGTCCCAGCCCAGCAGCGGGACGTAAAGGCTCACTTATATGTATTGCTCTAAGGACCACCGTTGAATTGAATCACAGATAATATTCAATTAATTTTTTTTTCTCCACAACTAGGAAGCTCTTAGCCTGTATCTGTGATGACAAAGTGCTTTTAAAAAGTAGGTATATTTCAAAATGCTAATAAATTAGCAAAAATATTTCATGCTGTCTTAAAATTAGGTACAGCTTGGTAATTTACTACCTCCTAGATAGATTGGATAGAATCTAGCCGGATCATAAAGGTATTGCATTCGCCAGCAAGCTTTACCATTCCATTACTATGCTTACACAACTTACTCAACCAGTCTGGTCATTGATCTTTGCAATATTTGCCAAGAGTCCATAAAGGCTAATTATTGGTCCTAAGTAAGCATTAGAGTAAAGAATATAAAAGTCCCCGATCAATGTTTGTTTTGCATGATTGCCTGTGGGGTAAATATTTCCCTCTATTATTATGGCCAAGGTTGTATATTTTTACGGAAATGGTTTCGATTGTGAGGGGTTGTGCCTCAAATATACTTACTTCCCAAATTCAATGTTCTCAAGGTAATATTTCATATAAAATATGGTACTTAGACAATGATTTGGGGTTTCGTTTTTAAAGTTTTGGCTAAAAACTCTACAGCCATTCTAATCATGGCCAAGAGGGTTACAAAATATTACCACACAACACAAAGAATTAGCAAATAAAATGTGCGTTACGGCTTAAATATGCAGTGGTGGTATAATAATCATGGTACATTGACTTCATGAGTTTATAATGTTACTCATGGATTCAACTTTCTAAAGTTACCAAACGCATATATGTGCGTATTATAATATGCCTTGAGATTAGTGCATAAGTGATAATATTTTGCTATGAGTCAGAATATAAATAAACATTAAAGATGTTGTGAAGACTTGAGCAATAAATAATTTGCTATTAAAATACCGAGTAGAGTAATTTTGAATTACGCATTATACTTCAAACTTTACTTTCGAAATTGACTTTTTGATGAACCTTTTTCATGGTTAAATGCTTTAACCCTGAGAAGTCTGCCTGTAAACGAATTACACCCGTTTTTAAAAAGCTCTATACCTACTTACATACGTGTGTTAACTTCCGCGGCCAGTGTAAGTAAGTAGACGACATCGTATTTTTTCGGTCATGGTAAACGTGTCGCAAGTGCAGGGCATTTATTTCGACTGCAGACAAAACATTTTCTTATGAAATCGGTCCTTTAGCTCATGTAGAGTCTAAAGCTGATCTTATTAAACATGCGAATTGCGAACAGATTTCTACAACCTGATAAACAGCTAGGCGGTTAGATTTATTAATACTTAGTAGACACTGGTAATAGGTACGGCCTTGGTGCAAAAGACTAGTTAATTTCAATGTTAATTAAAACCAATTGTCCGTTAATTCCATTTATAAAAGGCACGAGGGCCTCATGCAAGATTTTATCACAAATTATTGTAATTTGACCAATATTAACATTTTATATGAATTAAACGTGAGCTATTTGTATTTCTTTGTTACTGGAGGAACTCAACCCACTATTAATACTGGACCATAAATATCAAGAACTAGTGAGATACCTACTCAAAAGTTGTCACAACACAACAAAACAAAATGGTAGAGTCGATCCTTTTTAAAAGCTAAAACAAAATTTCTATAATGTAACACAATATTCAGTAACTAACGGCTTTTTGACGATCCACTCTCCAGTCTGTTGCGCTATTGGTTTTTACACGATAAACATAAGCCATAAATGAGTCAATTATGTTTATAGTTTTAAACTAAATAATATTATTATGATAGAGTGGTCTGTCTGGCTATCTTTGCTACACGGATAACAAAATAAATAATAAATAAATATCCTTAGACATTTTACACTACAAAACGACCTCAAAAGGTCAGAAGGGCAGTTGACTCTGACTGAACATCCTTGTTGTGGTAAGAATTAAATCTTCTTCATAAAATTGAGTCTCCATATTTTAAAATATGTACTGATTAACTGCCTAGTGGTTCGCTTAACATCAGCTGCCATTGCAGTTTCGAATCCCTCTGCGAGCAATTTGTCTGAAAAGCTTATGCATGAGCTTGCTCTGTCATAGAATTAATACTTTGGGGCAAGGTTAATAGTTTGGTTGGAATAATAAACATTAGCTGTTATTGACAAGTATCGATCAATACAGAAAGCATAACGTAGCCAAACTTGGTGGGACACCCAAGCTCTTCATTTTGTGTGCACCAGCTGGAAATTGAATGTCGGATGTCCGGGTACCGAGTTCGACTCTTCAACACGCGAACTACAATTAATTTGACGCACCACACAGTGCAAGTGGTATAGTCATTTTCAGCCATAGTATATCCACTGCTGAACATAGGCCTCCCCCAATGACTTCCACATCGCACGGTTGGTAGCGGCCTGCATCCAGCGCCTTCCTGCTACCTTTATCAAGTCGTCGGTCCATCTTGCGGGTGGACGTCCCACGCTGCGTTTTCCGGTACGCGGCCTCCATTCCAGAACCTTGCTGCCAATAAGAATAGTAAACAACTTAAAAAACTATACATATAAAAAACTCTAAAGATACATAATAATGTATGCGAGCATGATTGTATTGTGCGGGAATCATATACGAGACCTGTAACTGAATTTTCAACCACAGCGCCAAATAATCGGTGTTACTTATTGAACTTTTTATTTTCAGCTTTGGACAGCTACGCATTATGGCTCTGGGTATCCGGGTTCCTGATACTGCTAGCGATATGCGGACTCTACGTCCTCACGCTGCGCTCCGTCTGGCGCCATTCCCGGGACGCTGTCATGAATGTGGCTGTAGTGCTCGCCGTCTACCCGGTATGTTACATTTCCGTATCTATTTTTGTGTGGACGTTACAATACGTCAGTCATGTGCGTAATAGGACTAATAGCAAATTATAAACACATCGTAATCTATAGAAAATATGTTACACACGACTTCTTGCGAATTCGCCTATCAGACACAGTTCTTAGAAAAGCTTTGATCGTCTATTTATAATCTCTGGTATTGTTCTTTGACTCTAATTCCGAAGATTTATTAGCAAAATTAACCTTCGCGTGGGCTATCGGACTGTATTAACAATCTACAATCTAACATAAGACTGATATTACGTCGATGCAATCAAATGGCGGGGGTGTTGTAAAAACTAGTTCTATTTTTTGATTATCAATTATATTTTAAACATGTACAAGTTTCAACTGTAATACAAAGTTTTTATAGACATATAACATGTGGTTGAGCAAATTATAATTTTATTACGTTACATCGTAGATATTAATTTATCGGTTCGAAAGTGCACCAAAGCACACAAAATAGTAAGCAAAATTCGTGTAACGCTGGCGATTAATTTATTATTATTAAGTAATTGTGATTTATTAATCCAATAACAACAATGAACATTCAGTTGATTAATAATCTTGTGCGTAAAAAATGGGACTACATTAAACTTATAGATATATAATGAAGTTTCTCACTAGGATTGAACAGGGTCTTTATATGTATATATGTTTTTCCTTTCGGAACAGTGATTTACCAGATCCGTCTTGAACAGGTAAATAACTAAGTTAGTGGGTTACGAGTTGTTATTAACTTAACATGAGAGAGTAATACCGTGGGTCATTGTTGCGTAAACATGACGCGCGTTTCGCAATGGCCGCACCGACGAGCCCCAATCCGCGGGCATTCCTCGACTTTGCTTCTTTAACAAAACCACTTGTGAAACACTAACTTTTTCCTGCTTTTACCTAGGTTATGATTAATGACAGCGTTGTTTTATAAAAATCTGCCAGTCGTTTTTGCTTCTGGAGTTTCATACCTAGGTACATACTACATGTACGTAAGTACATCCTTACAAACTTTCGCGCGTATAAAATTAATAGTATAGATAGCTATTGAATAAGTGGTAACATTAGTAAATTGACATCGAGATGATGACACATAGACTTTTCGACACCTAGCTTTTAAGCCGATCCCGAAACTATTAACTTTGTCGGTTATTCAGGGTATTTTTCAAGGCTAGAGCAGCCCTGCCAATATGCCACACTTGTTTGTTGTAGGCCCTTAAGGGTAGGTAAATTTAATTATAGTAGAACTTACAATAACAATTTTTGTGTAAGCTAGAGCTGAACTTTTTCAAATTCATTCACAAACGAACGTGGTCGTTATTAATTAACAACAGTAATTTAATCAACGTAACGTTCATATTTAACCCGTTAAGTTAATTACTGAATTGACTGAAACCAATTAAGTATTTGATCAGTCATTATCTAACGAAGCTAATTTTAATTATCTTAGTACTCAGCAAGAATTATCACTTTCAAGGCATTGGTGGCATTGTTTTAAGTAGGTACTTAGCTAATGCTATGCAAATATAGTATTTTTATTTGCAATTTGAAGCCTTGATTGGTTGTACTTGACCAGCTGAGCAATACTTGCACAGAATTCAATGGTTAGCCATTTGTATGCCGTGGGAGCTGTCTTTGCGAAACACTGGAGCTAGGACAATATTAAGTAGGCTAGTTTAACTTTAGCCCCTTGTTTTGTTTTTAAACTAAACATTTTTTACACTCAAAGGCAAAAATTCTAAGGCTGGGTTGCACCATCTTACTTTAACTTTAACAGACGTCAAAAATCTGTCAAAAAACACCGGTTATCTTTAAAGTTACGAACAAAGTTATGTGGTGCAAAACATTTTGCACCACATAACTTTGAATTCACCTAAAACGGACATTCCTTTGTGATTTGCTATTCCCTCGAAAATAAATGTCCAATGTTTTATGAACCTACGTTAAAACTTAAACACGGCAACAATATTATTAATTGTTACAATCAACCAAGCCTTAAAGTGGCACACGGCGCAAAATTACAAAATATGAAAATAATTATGAGAAACTAATTACCGTTACAACACCATGGCTTCTACACACGCGTGTGCTTTGGAAATACGATAGAGCGCCCATAGACACCGGCATTAATGTAAATTAAGACACCATAGGCCATAGGCGAACGAAACTAAATACCTAAAAGCTTGTAAAAAAGTGGGTATTAGCTGAACTGTTTCAGTATACTGGCTGAACTGTTTCAGTATCCTCAATATTGTTTTAATCTTCTTCTTTCTCAAATTACTAGAGACGTAGACAGTCTAACGTCAACGGTATTCGTCTTTTATAGTTTACGAGGTTTCCAGTTTTTATTGCTTCGTACTCGTATGTAGAGTTGTTAAAACCGTACTNTACAAGATATAGAAAAACTTGACGGTCTCATCCGTAGCAAATTGAATAAGCTTTTTTTGGTTCATAGTAGTCATGTCACTAGGACGCATAGTTTCCGAGGATTAAGCGAAAAACCGAAAAGTGGCACCTTTAAACCCCCCTCTCCCCGCCGGCTCAAGGGCTAAGGGTGGGGACTTTTGCTATGTTCACCTCCTAACTAGTCTAAATAAAGTCCTGCAGTCAGAAATTGTGTTCTACAGTTTTCCATCTATAATGCTTTATTGACTGGACTATACCGTACCGTTTACGCACGTGTAAGTTTACCAAAATACTTAATTCATTAAGAATTTTCTTGGTCTTGTACTGTTGAATGTTTATTTTGAAACCCTTGCTGATAGGTTTAAAGTTATTTGTGTTAGTAATAACGTAACGGATACTGCGAAGTGTGAACGGATAACGATACGGATCGCTCCAAAAGGGATTGCGGCCTTGGGTGTTCCGTCCTTTTACAAACACCTTCGGGCTAGAAAATACCTGCTATTGTTATTATTCAAACATGGTAGATCTTATTCATAAATATTGCAAATGAATGGTTCTGTATTTTTTGCCGAAATTTATGTAGAGAGAGCACTTTTGTATAGAATAAGGTGCTATTGTTTTGAATTTAAGAGCACAACCATTTGTTATTCAAAGAAGCTTTTTTTATAACAATCTTTTAATAGCTTACTGTAAAAAGTATTTCTAAGGATAAGTAACTATTGTTCTTATTATTTTTATTTTACTAGCATCCCATACTTTATTACAGGTAAACCTAGCCCTAAAAAAGATTAATTATCGTGGCAATAAGATTAAAAGTTTTCCTTAATTTCAAAATATTTAAGAGCATTGCAATCAGCTTTTATAAACTTCTAGTTATCTGCATGGAAAATGCCACAGAACTCTGATGTAATATGATTACCGCGATTCACGTTACGTGGTGCGTAGGAAAGTTACTTACAGTAACTTCTTTTTACAGATTTCCATATAAATGTCTAGAAAGCCTTTTGTTTTCATTTAAGTAAATAGGTACTTACATAGGTAAATGAAAACTTAAAGTCGCTAAAGATATCTATTTGTTTGGGGTTTCCTGATAGTTTTGTCAATTAACCGCCCGATCATAAAATGACGCGGGTTGTCGAAGTTCGAAATAACGTGTTTTATTATTGGAAGGTAAACGGAGATTCTTTGAATTATTGTGTCTTTTGTGACTGGTAGTTGAAAATCCATTCCATATGTTTTATGTTCATTAATAATACCACGAAATACTTTGTTGGAAGCCTAATGGTGGCATATAAAGGCTGCCATCAGGGTAGCCTTGTTTTCTGTGGTTACAGCCTATACATAGAGCCTATACTTCATTATTATTATCTTGGTAGAGTTCATTTTGTCATCATTCTGCCTTATTTTTTTAATCTATTAGGCTTTTATGAGTCCGATTCTATTCTTTTCCAAGTTTCCAACAATACCAACGACTAATAGCGGAACTCAATTCTCATGCTGATGTTGCAAAGGCGTTCGCTGTTTCCTCTGTCGATTCTCTTATGCCCGTTTTCACCATCTTTCCCTTATTTTTAAGTTATACCGATGAAAACAAAATTCCTGTTATGTGTTAGCCTAGGGGTCACTTAAAAATTAGGGAATGATGGTGAAAACGGGCATTATTAATCTACTGATTTTATCTAAAATCTAGTGCCCTTGGAATATAAAGTAACTAATCAAATGAAATAGCGAACAAGCCCAAGGACTACTTTTTATTACGCCCTTAAGAAGAAATGGTATCAATCATCACCATCAGCCATTTGTAGGTCCGGCCACCGCTGTAGTGTGGGAATGTAGGGCAAATCCTTTAGCCGAGAAGGTCATGCTGCTGTAGTGAAGACTACAAGTACCTAAATGACGTGATGATGATAGTTTTGTAAACAACGTTATTTATTTCTATTAAATGTGTTTTCAGGTAGTAGCGGCGTCAGCATACATAACTACAGTGGTGCCCCGAGCGACGCTGGTATGCGAAGCCATCGCGCAGCAAGCAGTCATGTTCGGGATGTACCACTTCTACTGCATGATCATTGATGATTGCGGCGGTGTTGATAAGCTCGTCAGGTAATTGAAGTTCAGATGTTCATCATTCGGTTCAGATTACATCCGCGTCAAAAACGTGAGCTATGTGTTTGAATCTCAGATCATAGACTATGATCTGAGGTCTGAATAGTCCTTGAGTGACTTATCCTTGTTCGTTCGTTTCAGCCAAATGACGTCCACTGCTGGACAAAGGCCTCCCCCAAGGTTTTCCACAATGAACGGTCCTGCGCTGCCCTCATCCAGGCTCTTCCCGCGACCTTATCCTTGTACTTTTCAATATTACTTACGATTAGTCATCATTTCAAGAGCGAAATCGTTTCTGAAGCTAACTTAAGTTTTTGTTGTACCAACTTATTTAAAATCTCAGATTATCACAAAACCGCTCTAATCTAGTTTATGTCTGCATCTCGTATCTGATACAGTACCTGTTTAAACTAAAACGAACCCGATTTTAATAATGATTTCAAGGTAACGCCTATCAGCAGCATTTAATGATTAAATAAGGATTTGTCTCGACCGATACTTTAAAAAAAAAATTAGATTAAGATAAGATGTACTTATTTGCAAGATGAGTGTCAATAATTCAATATTACACTATTTGCGGAACTTACGGCATACAATAGTTCAAAGTAGACTGGGTCGAGCGAGACTCAAGTCCCAGAGATCAGGTTAAAAAAGTTCTCGTAGTTGGGCAAAGATTTTATCATAGTAATGGCAGGGCAGCCGTAAAGGGGGATTGTATGGAAATCAAGGTTGAACTTGACTTTGTTAGCCCTGTTTCCGTGATGTCATAAAACGTGTTAATCACGACATACACGCGACGTTCGTGGAAAATAATAACAGCAGATAAATTCCGATTTGTGACAGTTGTTATTAAGTTTTTTTATTTTTTATAGTTAGGGATCTACTACAGTCGTAAGAGACGACTAACAATTACTCTGGCCAGCGGGAGCCTAAGAGTGTGGGTCAAATCCTCTCTTTTGCCTCTGGTATAAATTAGCGAGTGTAGGAGGGAGGTGCACACTCGAAGACTACAATTAATGACGATGATGATGATGATGATGATATTTTAATTATTCGCAGGCAAGCAGGCGACTGTTATCTGGAGACAAGGGTCCCTCCTTGTTGCTGCTGGCCATGCTGCGTTATTCCTCGACCGCGTCTTCAGAGGTAAGATTATAGATTCTGAATTTCTGGTATAAAGATTTAAGAAGGTAGGTAGGTACATTGAAGAAACATAACCTAAAAAGAACTTAGACTCTACTAACCGGACCAAACATTAGACTTCTTATTAACATGCTAGTTAGTGCCCCTAATGTTAACGATAATGATATTGTACTAAGCAAGATCCTAAACACAACACTAAAAGTGTATTTTGTTTCTGAAAATAAAACACAGCTCAAGTAAGGCCTTACTTCATAAAACAAAGTGTCGAATTGTGTTCGATTCGAAGTGATGAAAAGTATAGGCGTATAAGTAGGTTTAAATGGTTTATTCACTATAGACAATATTATAAACGTGACACAAGTAGATTTACAAGTTACAAAGCAGAAAAGACAAAAGAAAACAGTGAGAAACAAAATGCGCCGGCCCCGCGGCTCGTGACGCGCGCACCGTTTGCCTTTCTGAGACGGACTGGCGGACGTGGGGCGCCGGAGTTTATGAGCGCGGTGTGCGTAGGCGGGGCGAGCGGCGGAGCGGGCTAGTGGCAGTCACGGGAGACACAGCACTCCCAGTTCGCGGTAAAACATCGCGCGCTATATCCTCCCCCTCCAAGCCATCAGAAGACATCGAGGATGGCTTGGCAACCGGTACTTTACGCCGCGGTCTTCCCCTCTTACGGCCGTGCACGATTGCGGTATTCGAATCACCGACATAAGGTGTGAGTAGACTGGCATGATACTTCCCTCGAGGATTACTATCTCTATCTACAATTTCATAGGTGGTAGGTGAAACTACTTTTGAAATACGATAGGGACCTTCGCGCCTAGGAGCAAATTTACTAGTAAATCCTTTTGCTGCCTGACTAAGGCGATGACTTTCTATAAGAACGAGGTCTCCTTCGTTGTAGATGGGTCCAGTTCGATACCTTTAGTGGTGATTACATGTCCTAAGTATGTTACCCTTTCTCTGGCAAAAACACACTTTTCTCTGTTGGCTTTCAGATTAAACAGACGAAGACGGTCGAAAACCAGCTGCAGGTCACGCAAATGAGAGTCAAAGTCGTCCGAGATAACTAAAATATCGTCAAGATATGCCACGACTGTCATGCCTTTTGATCCACTGATTGCGAATGTCGTTTAAGCCCGAACGGAAACGATCCATTAATCTTTGAAACGTCGACGGTGAGTTTTTCAAGCCAAACGGCATGCGTCGAAACTGAAACGTTCCAAATGGTGAAACAAAAGCAGTTTTGTGTCTGTCTTCAGNGACGTGGCAGTAGTAGAAGCACTTCGGTTCATACTGTTTGCACGCGAACGCGTTAGCACCATTACTTTAAAATTGTTTATGCGTTTAGAAAATCAAATAGTCACTGCGAGCTAACTTGTCCAAAACGCGTTCAAAATCACTCGCGGCGGCCGAAGACGTCGACGGTTAACATGCACAATCACGCCTGTACCGGACGAAGCGCGCCTGAGCGAGCGGGTTGCGCGACGGCGACTCGCGTGACGTCACAGTCACGCCTGTACCGGACGAACCTAGCGTCGACCGATGTACGAGGTACTTACGCGCGGAAACTTGTAAGCAAGCATTGTTTGTTTCACAGACTCATAGTTTCACTTAANCGAGACTTAAGTCGATTTATCTTATTGTTATTAGGTAGGTACTTTGAATTCAATAAATAAGTAAGTACATGATGCGTTTTGTTTTTGTTAATTATAAAATTATTAAAAACGTATTAAAAATTTCCCTACTTTCGGGAAAATCGCCTTCACTGTCTACACTCCCCAACAAAATTGACACTAATGACATAAGATTTTTGCCTCACTCTTGACGAAGCGTTTGTATGAAGACTATCCATCTAGGTTTTATTAATCTAAGTTCACAACACAGTTCAATTCACAGTTCGAAGCCACTCGTTGGATGCGCCATTTATAGGCGTATAAGTAGGTTTAAATGGTTTATTCACTATAGACAATATTATAAACGTGACACAAGTAGATTTACAAGTTACAAAGCAGAAAAGACAAAAGAAAACAGTGAGAAACAAAATGCGCCGGCCCCGCGGCTCGTGACGCGCGCACCGTTTGCCTTTCTGAGACGGACTGGCGGACGTGGGGCGCCGGAGTTTATGAGCGCGGTGTGCGTAGGCGGGGCGAGCGGCGGAGCGGGCTAGTGGCAGTCACGGGAGACACAGCACTCCCAGTTCGCGGTAAAACATCGCGCGCTATAAAAGGCAATTAATGTTACAATACTTCAAATCTAATAGATTATTCATTTACCAAGGGACATTGAAGGTACTATTGCGATGACGTCAAATTCCATTACTACGGAAGTCTATTTAATTATGATGAAAAGTTGTAATCCATTTACATGGACACCTTTCCAAATGAATGGTTACACCTTTACGATTCGATACGATCGAGTGTGATCATCGCTTTATAACAACACGATGGGTTTTGGTACTTACACCTAATTGCCTTTCAGAATGGGTAATTGGATCTAATAGGGTTGTTTGCGAGAGGCGAGGCACACCCGTGGGACTTTGTCAAACACAATGATTAACATCGATATCTCCTATCTTAGTTATTAGACTATCAGCCTTATCTAATCTGGTTGTTTTACTAATGGGAACTACATGAGCCTAATGGAGTTTTTTTTGACTGGATCTTTTTTTATTTCAGGCGCAATATTCTCCGGCTACGTTATCTCGTAGTTCAGATGCCGATAATTCAAGGAATCATCTACATCATCATCCTCCTCATTTGGGTAGAAGACATGGTAAGTGGAAACTTTGTTTTCAAAAAGCAGAAAGACAGATCCAGAAATATAAGCAAAATAGAAAGATCGGTATACCTACTTATTGATATTTTATTTCTGTTTGTTATCCACTTGAGAATTAAACTACTGATAAATCTGATTAAGGAACATACTTAGCTCAGTTCATAGATAGACCCATGACTGAAATAAAATATTTTCTAGAAGTCATTGAAATGATGATTCATTCCAAATCTTAACGTGATTAACATTCAATTGAAATGGTGAATCATTCACAATTCTTCAAATTACTAGAAGCAAGCTACGCGAAAGTTGCCTTATTGTAATCTATAGGGAAAAGCAATTAATAAAATGACTTATTCTTCCAGATGCTGTACATCCGCAGTTTCCCGTTCTTCCAGCCGTTCGTAGTCGCGTCCATCCTGACCGGCATCTGGGGGGTGACGATGTCCGTCAAAGCCGCCGAGGCGTCCGGTCTCCGTCCGAAGCCGAAATTTTTCGTGCTGCAGCTCGCGCTTCTGATCGTGAAGCTTCAGTGCGGCATCATAAGGTTCCTGCCGCGGGCCTTCACGATGCCCTGCCTCATGTCAGTGAATCCCATCGTGTTTGTCAATCGTAAGTCGAAAATGTTTAAATCTACTTTTGCTCCTAAATTCGTTTGTGACGGACACAATTTCGCAATGGGCTGGGTTACCTAATTATCGCTTCAAAGAGCATAAACTATTGCGTACGAAAAAAGACGAATAAATTTGAATTGTGTGAATAAAGGGCATAAGAAATTACAAATCGTCGCTCTGCTTGCAAATGGAATCTAAACAAAGAATTTGTCTGCAACCACATTTTAAAAGAATTCGTTTTTATGGAAGAGCAAAGTTTGCATTATCATTCTATCTGCATTGTCGAGTTATTTAAATGGTTCGAGGGTGCATAACTTATAGTAGGTCATGTCTATGACCTCAATAAGACTTGCATCGGGTATGTTTTCTGTAGTTCTAGAAAGATCTGTAAACACATGCGATAGAATACGAAATTCAGATTAACGGTTCTAACTACCCAAGCAAGTGCATTTAGTAATCAAGCATTTTGTTTTATCCAGTGCTGCAGAACAGCTTGACCCTCGTGGAGATGCTTCTCCTGTCTGCGCTGGCCTGGCGCCTGTACAGCGGCCCCCCGTCTCGAGCCGGGAAGGTCCAGCACGCAGTCATCGCCACCGTGGATGACAGCATCTTCGACGTCAAGTCCATCAAGGACAGCTTGGATTCCAAGTCTTTTAAAGGGAAACACGACAAGTGAACGACAGAAAATCTCTCAGAGATATGATAATTTTTGTGATTGTAATTTTTATTGGATGTTGTCAGATTGAAAATCTAGATGTGTTTTTGTCCAAATTGTAGAAATTGTATGTAGTGCACGATGACAGTGAGTTCTTTGATAGTGTTTATTTATAGATATCGCTAGATATTAAGAGGCTAACATGTATGATGTAAGTCAAAAGATTGGAAAAACCAGTAATAATAAACATTAATAATGTTTAATTAAATTAAACATGAATGTCGCTGGCGATCTTGATGTACCTGATTATTGTTATTATGTAATGAATGTTTAAATGAATACAGATTCTTTGAATTGAAATAGAGTCTGTTATTTAGTTACACCAATTTATTCAAATTATAAAATTTTACGTAATACATACGAGTACATTATTTATTAGCCAATTTAAGTACAACACCGAATAAAAGATACTACTTACATTGATAGCAGGTGTGAAATCTTTCTGAAATTTTCAATGTAGGTAAGTATGGTAAGTATTCACAATTTATTGAGATTGATTATCTACTTGTTCATTCTGGATTTCTTCTTCCTCATTTTTATCCTCGCTTTCTTCTGATGGCGTGCCGGCACGGGAGCTCTCAGACCCATAAATGTTGTGGAGTTCCTCCAACTTGTAATGTATCTTGACGCCCTTGCTCGTCGTTTTATTGACTTTGTTCACCAAACATTTAGTTTGTTCTTCCAACCTTTTCAATCGAATGTCTCTTGCAGCAAATCGTGCTTCGTGGTCAATATCACTAGATGTAGATGGTTCCTGATCATCTATTTCAGTCTTTGAACCTTGCGTATCTTCATTAGCTATTTCATTAACATCTACACCCTCTCCTCTAACATTGTGAAGTGTTTCTAGCTTGTCACTGAGTTCTTGGCCTGTATGCAACGTGTGATTAATGTTATCAATTACTTTGGAACATTCTTTCTCTAAATTTTCAAACCTTTGGTCTTTTTTGACCAACCGTTCATCCTGCTTCTTAACGTTTTCTAAAATGGCTTTAAAATCAACAGTACTTGTGTTTGGCGTCTCATAAACGGAACTAGATGATTGGGTTTCTGAACATTGTGACACATCTTCACTCGAAGCCGAATCTGTATCGTTAACATTTGCAGACTCTGATTTGTTACTTTCCTCTTCAATTTCTTCATTCTTGATGATTACTTCAACATCGTTTGTGTTCGGTTCTTGTGTTGATTGATCATTTATGCTATCCGTGATTGATAAGTCTTCTTCGTTCTTATGATGAGATGAACTATCTGGTTCTCTGCTAGATCGGGGTTTCAAAATGTGATCTAAAGTACTATTAATTTGTTCACCCAACTTACTCGTCAACTTGACCTTTTGCAAAAGATTTGCACTGTTCTTTTCTAAATTTTCAAGTTTTTGATCTTTGTTAGCTAACCTTTCATTTTGTCGTTTTATGTTTTTAAGGATTTCCGCCGGGTCAATGAGATTTTGTGAAGCACTTGGTGCAATAATACCTGCAACTTCAGTACTGGTCGCCGGAAGATCAATTTTGACAACATTTGCGTTATCATGATCCCGCGATGCCGACGCTGACTCTTCAATATACGAATCATTAGTAATATCGCCAACTTCGTCTTCCGTTTCTTCAGATAAAACTTCACTTTTTGGACCATTTTCACTGTGACTTTCGTCTTGTGTATCAAGAGGCAAATCTGCAACATCCAGCATATCACTAGCAGGGTCTTCTCTTTCTGCTGCTAAGTTGAAATCCGTGCTGGAGTCTATTATAGTTTCAAACGATTTCTTAAGTTTTCTTTTGCATCTGATTGGGGGCTCTGTTACATATTCACTCTCATCGTTTGATTCTGAAGATTCGTCAGAAGGTCTTTCATCACTGTATCCACTTTCTGCTGAATTGTTGAACGCCGGTGATCCCGTTTTTCGGCTAGAAAATTCGGCTCTAAGTTTCCTCCAATCTTTTTCGGATTGAGTATTTTTTTCGCGAGCTTGTTCCCATTTTTCTCTACAATATTCAAGTTCCTCTTTCAGTTCATTCAACAGTTTTCTCTTTTGTTGTAACTCATATTTTAGAATCTTCTCATGCGTGTGTAGCTGGTGATGGTGGCGGCGTAATCTCCCAACAACGTGCCACGTTTTACCCAGTTCAGTGGTGACTAAACAAAGTCGGCGTTCTTGTTCTTCTAAGCGAGTCTCTAGATGAGAGTTTAGTTGCTTCATGCGGTTAACTTCTTTAATCAGCGCCAGTTTCTCAACAATTAGATCCTGAAAAGACAAAGGCACACTATAATTAAAATACTTATGTGTGGTAAAATATAATTGTCTTCAACGTTTGATGTTTTAAGTATTTAACTCAAACAATTTTGGCATTGAACCAATTCACATTGTTGGCTTTTTTATGTGGTGCAACACAAAATGTAGTGGTCATGATTTTTATTTTATTTTTGGACGCTCTGTTTTACTTCTCTTGATCATGACTCACATTGCATTATCATCATCATAGGACATAAATGAATTCAACATTAATAGGTTTAACAATTCATTGCGTTGTGTAATCACTTACTTTTAATCTGATGTAAGTCTGACTAACGCTTGGCACTAGTACAGGTCCAGATTTCGTTTCTACGGATTTGTAGCATGTTGTGACTTTTTCTTCGGTGTTTGGATCAGCCACGCTTTGGTGACTCAAAAGTTCCATGAGGACCCGCCACACTTTAGGCAAATTTTGGACAATTTCTTCAGCTGTTGTAGAACTGGACTTATCTGTAATTAGAACATTATTTTTTTTATAACTTGGTTACTAGCTCTATTTAGAAAGTGACGATCATGATCACAATTTGAATAAGTATTTAAGGTAGGTATATTAGAATGACTATAGTTACCTAAGTCTTCTTCTGAAGTTTCCTGTTGCGTACTCAGATTGACGCTGTCAAGCTGAGACTCTTCTGGTTCCTCTTGTTCTTCATCTCCTTCGTCAACTTGACAAACTAACTCTAACAAAAGTTTAGGCAACGCGGTGGAGGCTTCAGCGTCGTTTTCTCTTTCAGCCATTTGAGTTAGGATACCATGATTTTCTTCAAGGCGATGCACCAACTTGTCGAGGTCCTTTTTTGTTTTATATCCCAAAAGCACTTCGGAAAAAAGCTGAGGAAAAATAAAAATAATGTAGGTAAGTAGGTAAGTAACTATTTGAACATTGCATTGCAACATGCCTAACGCAGAAAGCTCTTCCATAATAAGTTTAAATAATCGTATTCTTCATTTCATGATTGGATTACGCTTTCGGGTGGTAGCGTCTTAGAACTTCAGGATACGGTTTTTTTCTGCCAGAAGGCGGTGATACCTATGGTGTAAAAGATGATGACCGGAAATTACTTCTAAAGTAGTTCATGTACATTTCGTGAAACAATCTAATTACCTTGTTGACAACCATCATTTCAGCTCTCAAACCCAGTGATTCATCTTGGCAAACACTTATTTGATTGTTTTTGTTTTGGATTGTTTCAATTAGCGCTTCGATTTTGTCTTCAAGTTCTTTAACTTTTTCCGATAAGTTTTTAGTCCTGAAAAAGAAGGTTCATAAAATAAGAAAAATAATTAAGTTCTTTAGATTCCATGTGTCGTACCTATTCGTATTATTAAAAGAGGCTTGATTAATAAGATTATTAGGTAAGTAGGTATTTGTATTTACTTACTTGTTAACTTCCGCTTGGTTCAGCAGTTTTTGTTCTTCCAGATCCCGAACTAGATTCACTCTAGTGACTTCAGCGAGACGAGCCCTCTCCTCATAGAGTCCTCGGAGAGTGCGAATGTTTTGTAACTGCCTTTCGTACTCTTGCCTTAGGTCTGTTGATAACATGCTAGCTTCTCTATCAGCCAATGATTTTTCAATTTCACTTAATTTTTCTTTTAGCTGAAAAAATCACATGGAAGGCTTGAGCAAAATCTACTGATCTAGAATGTGGCAAAATTTTAAAAACAATCGTCATCTACATAAATGATCGCATAACATAAATGTAATATCATTTGATGATGATGATGATGTCATGTCTCCTAATACCTATTCATTGATAAAATTAAATGTAGATGAGATGAGAGTCATGAAATCATGTTTGATCTGATGACGAAGGTTCATGCATCGATTGTTGACTGTACGTTTGGCTTATTGACAAGATTTAGAGCCAACGAAACGACAGCGTCATGTTGCGTCGCGGTCCCTGACCGACCGGGGCACATGGCTTTTCTAGGTCGTTGTCTCTGCAGTTTCTAGAGCTTGGAAAACTTTTACTCAGTTAGGTACCTTTGATTTCCTGCCTCAAATTATACCTAAGTTCATTTTAAAGGATAAATCTACGTACCTCATTAAGTTGCTGTTCACGAATTGCAATCATTGTTTTGCTTACAGAAACCACTTCCTTGAGTGCACTGATCTGCTTCATAGATTCTATGTTTTGTGAATTCAAATCTGCTATATCGGAGTACGCGTTCTGAAGAGTATTGTTAGATTCAGCCAAATCTTTTCTCAACTTGTTGTTGTTTGATTTCAAACTTTCAAATTCTTCTTTCATCTGTGTTATAGTACCAATGAGATCTGAATCTTGGCTGGAACTCAATAGATCATCAGGTATCTCAATATTATGCTTCAGCAAAAGTTCTCGAAGTAATTTGTTGGTTTGCACTAATTCCAGTTTAGACTGCTTTTCACTGTTTAAAGACTTCTCTAATTCTTCTTTTTCAGCTCTGTGTCTAGCAAGAATTTGTTTTCTTTGTTCTCTTTTGATGTTGAGTTGTTTCTTGAATTCTATCATTTCTTCTTCTTTAGTTTTTGCACGAGCTTCATCAGTAACAGTTTCCACATAATCTTCATCGATGTTGGCGTTTTCCTTAGTATCATGGGAGCCGCTTGGATTGTCCATTGTTTCACTTTCACTCATGACGTCTGCGTCGTGTTCTCTCGCCGAAGTATTACTGAGAACGCTTCCCATTTTGGAATACTTTTATAAACAAGTCACACTTTCATCCGCGCAAAATCAAACCGCGATGCGTAATTTTAAATTAGGTACCGAGCAATATGTTTTTAATAAGACAAAGAACTGTCGACTGTGGGATCAACAAGAGCGTGCGGCAGCGCAGACGGTTCCCGAAATAGCTCCCCCGTCAGTTTCAGCGGTGCGCCAGCGCAAGTATGTTCAATATCGCCACGAAGCGAGCGTACTATTCGACGAATCTCTGTCAATATTTTATTTTTATTCAGGTTATTTCTGACATTGCGTGATCTTGTGAAACCTGAGGTTTTTTGTTATGATAAATTTAACTACTATTTTGCTAGTTTGTTGTACTCGTAGGTAACATAGTTTTTCTGGTTAGGATTACTAAGGTTTATATGTAGATATTCACTGAAAATTATTGTAACAAGTCTCTTGAAGAGATTGAGAACCTTTTCATAAACCGATTTTGATGAGGTAGGTATTCTTTACTTATCCAATATTTAATTTATTTTAAAAATTAAGGAAAACCTTTTTTGTATATCAGTTTCTGGAAGAGGGTTGATAAAAAAAAGTCTTTTTGGGACAGACCGCGGGTATAAGCAGCAAAAGGGGGCCAAATAAATTAATAATAGTTAAATATTCTTGGATATTAAAGGTAGGTACCTAAACTGCGCCATCCAGTCCCAAATTAAGCAAAGCTTGTATTGTACTATGATACGTACCGAACAACAGATATGAAAATACTTTATACCTACTTACTTTTTTTTTAAAACGGGAGTATCGAACCCGCGACCTCTAATAAGTACACTAACCACTAAACCAAATGGCGAGAAGAGCAGCGCCATCTAGTAAAATGTAGTGACACTTCAGTTTACACGTTTTTTTCTATTACTGAAATATTTTCAAATACGCGCAAGATGGCGCTCCTTAACAGAATTTATTGTCTGTGGAAACGATGTCATTTTTTCTGAATTTATTTATCTGTGATGCGTAATTTTTGCGATACGTCAGTCAATCGTGGACAATTTTCCGGAATGGGTTTTTTTTTTTGGCNATTGCAATATATTGGAGGAATAAGAGATGAGAATACTTTCTTGATTGTTACCGACTCCTTGAGTGTCCTCACTTGTCTTCAAAACACTCATATTCATTACAAGACCAACATCTACATAACGAAAATAAGAGAAATATTATTGAATAATGATTGCAAGCAAATAGAGTTTATGTGGGTCCCCTCGCATTCTGGGATTACTGGCAATGAAATAGTGGACAGATTGATGAAGATAGAAAGTCCATATAGTGGCGATTCACGGTATCCAGCGCCCCCTGTACCCATCTCAGACTATGACTCCATCTTGAAAACCCGTATGTTCGATAATTGGCATGAAGAGTGGAATATCACTAAATTAACCAAAGGAAAATGGTATGGACAAATACAACAGAAACTTCCAAGAAAACCATGGTACTGCAAGTCGCAAAGTTCTACCTCAAGAAGTTTCATCACTACAATGAATCGCTTACGACTTGGACACGCAAAATTTCCAACCCACCTTAAACGGATTAAAATGGTCACTACAGATAAATGTGAATTTTGCCAGGCAGATGCGGCAGACTTAGACCATCTTATTCTTCAGTGCCCAGCCTTTAATTTGGAAAGGCTTCTGCTAGTGGATGGCTTACTGAAGATCTATCAAGAAGATGAAAATATTCCCCGCCTCTTGCCATCCATACTAGCGAATGAAAAGACGTACCCACATATTTACCAGTACATTGTAAATACACATATAAATTTATGAAGACATTTCAACTAAGATACAGAAGAACAGAAATCCATTGAAAACACTCAGAAAGTACTCATGAATGAAAATACAAAGAAAGAAATAACTCACTAAAGAATTGGCCGTAAGGACACTATCCGAAGCCGTTAAATCTGTTCAAAAAAAAAAAAAAATTTTTGTGATTTTATGGCCTTGAGATTTTCTCAAATATCCAATTTTTTAAACCTTCAAGCTTCAAATACGGGGAATACATCTCAGTAGCCAAGATTGACAAATTTTTTTGATACGAGTTTAATGTTTTTGGGATTTTCTGTTGATATTCCCGTTAATCCGTTCCGTAAAATATTCTACTAATGGCAGTAATGAAAATTTCAAAGCCGTTAAACAACAAAAAAAAACAAAGGCATGATGTCATCTGGCTGTCATTAATGTCATTGTTATTTGTTATTGAATCGATTGTGCCGGCTGTTGAATTAAATTTGTTTAATCTTCTAATTTTAGCAATCATGTGTAAAGTGATTCTAGGCTACTTATTATTAACCATATGTTTTCATTTTAACCAGTGCAATAATCGTGTCGGGCCAGATCCGTGGGATTTGATTCAAGACGAAACATCAACAGACACTCATGATGGAAAGATTCCTCCAGACCTTCGATTACCACCAAAAAGGAAAATACAAACCAATGGAAACATGGCAAACGGAGAGTGGTTTTTCAAGAGAACTCTTGCAATCATTTTGAATGCTGGACAAACAAAGGTTTAACAGTACATTTTACGTATTTCCTTTGTTCGCATTTTGCTTGTATTTTACTGCAAAAGCCTTTTTCAGTTTTCTGTGAAATTATGTTGATTAGACTATCATTTCATCACTATGTGTAGCTTTTGATAGTAGATTTGCTCACGTGAAAATGTTACTACATGTATAAAAAACCCTGAAAAATCTTCTTAACATTATTTCATAAATTACAGTTAAACGAAGATGGCAGTACCGATATATCCCTGCTGTTAAAATTCGACCAGGATCATTGGCAAACCCTGAAGGACTACACAACATCAAACACTGCACTGACTGAAGATATGTTTCGCCGTGCAGTTGCCTATGTAGAAGAAGCTGTTTACAAACCTTCTCTTGCACAGAAAGTTGCTATAGCATGGAGTGAATATATTCAGTCGTTATTCATAGAATACAAGGTAAAATTAATAACTTAACATTAATTACTGTAGTACAGGCAGGCCTGGCTCACTCCGCGCGGTACATCCGATAATTACCTACAGTGAAGCGCCCCGCCGGCGGGTGTTATATCAGTCGAGTGTCACGCGCGCGCTCGTCAGGACGCTGGCGTGCGTTGTAGTAACTAATTCTATGATCGAANCTCATGAATGAAAATACAAAGAAAGAAATAACTCACTAAAGAATTGGCCGTAAGGACACTATCCGAAGCCGTTAAATCTGTTCAAAAAAAAAAAAAAATTCATGATTGATTTGTCTGTGGATTCTGGATTTGTCAAACAAAATTCGTATTGGTATTTGTTGTAAAACTCGTACGTTTTTATTGTAATGTATGTAATTAATTCTCTCTAAGTTGACAAAAAAAGGCTTGGTTATTAAGAATCAACCGGGAATAATAGTTTTAATAATATTAGATTCTCAACGTATTCTTACTTTTGCAACCTGACCGAACTGTACAGATTTTAATTAATCACACATAGATTAATATTCACATTTATAAAATGCACCGAAACCTACCACAAAATAAGGAAGCTCTTTTGAAATCGTACACCACGAGGCTTAAAGAAGATGTTAAAAGTATGCTAGAAAATTTTGAAGGTAAGCTTACTCTTATAATTATTATATGAGTATTTCTCAAAAAAAATGTACATTTTGAAAAAAAAAAGTGTGCTTTGAAACAGTTCAAAAGTTTTATATTTATAAATCATCACACAAAATAAACACACACACAATTTTAAAGGAGGAATATTAATATTTAAGATAACGAAGAATTATNAATGAAAATACAAAGAAAGAAATAACTCACTAAAGAATTGGCCGTAAGGACACTATCCGAAGCCGTTAAATCTGTTCAAAAAAAAAAAAAAAAAAAAAGACAATTTTCCGATTTCTGAAAATTTCTCATGGGTTTTCCCAAATTTAAAGTCTTTTCGTGGTTTCATTCTCTTTAAATAAAAATCTGCGTATAATACATGCCCGATAAACATCGGCAGTTGGCTAAAATAAGTAAATATTTCACGTTGTGTGTAATAATTGATTTTTTATTTTATTTTGTTTTACCGTGGCTTATTGGTAAAATAGCTAACAAAACCACTTTGCGTGTGACGTCGCTCAATTTACTCCACAAATAGGACGTGCCATAATGTGATCTGTGAAGTAGAATAAGCTTAATAAGTGATGGATGAGAGCACTAAGAATTCCCCTTGTAAGGTAAAATTTGGCCATTGTTTGTACCTACCTTAATTTCTTTAGAAATCTTGTTTAAACTATTTAATAAATTCACTATAAAATAGTTAAATATTTCTTCCACTTCAAACTATGTAGGTATGTGGTTTCCACACTTTTGGTTTGTGATTTTCAAGGGGGTGATGAAATCTAAAAAATTCAATTAGAATACTGTTGATCCCTATTATCCTGTCGATGTAACTTTCAATGCACAATGCTTTTCTTATTTTCGTTTGCAACATTTCCTTTTATCACACTAACTGTTCTGTACATGTCATTTCTAAAAATTACTGTTATGAAAAAAACATTTATTTTGATATTTAAGTATTAATCAATAAGGTTGGAGAATCAAACAACCTATTACATTGAATCACTTACATCTAAACAACACAAATCATTCATTATCGTGGAAGCATACACTGGCTTGTTTATTTTTATTTGAATATTGCATCGTCGCTAGGCTTGCGATGAGGTGGACGGAGTGCACTTGCAAGCGGAGGTGGAGCACTTGCGGCAGCACCTCGCCGAGAGGGACACGCACATTGTAGCCCTCGAGGGGGAGTTCATCAAGTGCACCGCTAGAGCCAACGAGCTCGAGGAGCAGCTAGGTACTTGGAGGGAGAAGTATGAAAGGTAAGGGCACTGTGCAACTTACAAGTTTTTCAAAGTGTGTTTTGTACATATTTTATGTGTTTCAAATCAAAACAAATCAGAAATATTATTCAGATGGAAGTATTACCTACTTGTTGTTAAAATACACCTTGACATTAAAATAGATCATGTTGGGATTTCCATCATTTGTAATGTAAGAAAAGAAAACTTTATTTACTCTAACATAGTTTATTGGTTAACTTAAACTTGAGTTTGAGATCTCAATACTATGTTTTATATGTTACTTCATAAGCATCAAACATGCATTACATAAGATTTGCACATGTTTTGCAGTACTATTTTTATAACTTTATAAGTTAATTTCAAATATTCTAATAATAGAAATTTTGACATGATTTAAAAGTTAAAAACACCAGGGTATTTGTTGTAATGGCCAGATACTTTATTAAGTGGTTTCTTTAGATTTTGCAATGTTTCTTTTACAGATTGTATGACTCACACAAAAGAGTCCAGAAGTTAAATCAAGTTCTAGAAGACAAATTGTTGCAAATGGTCGATAAAATGAAGGGCGAAAAGAGTCAACTGACTAAAGACATAGCTACTCTGTCGGTTCGACTTGCTGAGTCAAAACATAACTACAGTATGCTGCAAAAGGAAAATGTATGTTGTTAAAATAATATTGAGATGAAACATTTCTTAAATGTCGAGCAACATTCATTGAAATATACAATTTAATAACTTTGTTTCAGGAAAGATACAAAAATGACATGAATTTAGCAATTCAGTTACTACAATGCAAGCCAGATAACTTTGTGTCACAGAAATTAGACAATGTAAGTAAATAATGACAATTAATATCCTGCCATGAATATTTCCTGTACTTACTAGATACTTATTAGTTTTGTTTTCTTTCTAGCTTCCTGTTGACACACAGGCAAGAGTGTCCCAGTACGTCATGTCAAAAACATCTAAACCATGCAGCTCTGCCCAGTCTAAATGTGGTAATGAAAATGACACATTTGATGCAAGTGAGTATGAATTTAATATTTCTGCATCACTCATGTCCAAAATCCTTGAGGACAGCATTCAGGATACTGTGACTAAACATTGCGATACATGCACATGTTCCAAGTCACAAAGCAAGCCCTTCTGTTATAACGAAAGTTATTACACAGTGGCAACACAAACGTTGTTGACTGGTGATCTTAAAAAATCCGTTTGTATAAATTGCGACGCTGAGATCAAATCAGTTCAATCAAATCTCAGCATCAAAAGCGCCTCATCACATGCACACAAAATCACTACTGATAAAACTTTGAACTGTGGTCTGACTGGCCCTATGTACGTCATTCCACAACCGATTGGTGAAACTTATGAGGAAATTTCGGAAATCGTGCCAGAAATAAAAAAGAATCACATTGATCATGATCATGATAAAGTAAATACTGTTGATAAAATTGTGGAAACCGCTATCCCGCAACCGACTCCTGATTCAAAACAAATAAAATCAAACAACATAAACACAGAGCCAGCAACCCATCATAAACTTTGTGATCGCACAAAAACTCCAATATCCAGCAAGAAGAGCAGCATTCACAGCCACTGTAATGATGATTTACTCATTAAAGAAGCACATAACGTAAAGGACGTTAAAAATAAATACGAGCATGTTGGAGACATTTTGAATACGAGAAAGAATTCTCAAAGCTCAGTTAGTGCTATTAGTAGGTCTTCCTCTGTCGCAAAGTCGACTGTGAGCACACACAAGTCTAATACCCAAGTGGGACCCGGTCCGAGGTTCTGTCACTTGCGGATGCAAGCTGGTTCTAAAAATATTTTGTTGGATAATGCAGAACCAGACGTACCACCGGTACTTTATCGGCGCCAAAGTAAATGTAATGAAAACTCTTTATTCAAAGATCTCAATGATGATGTAGACAATTTTATTAATGTAGAGAAGAACGATGATGATGATAAAAATAAGGTTAAAAATGATAATGTGGTGGTCGAAACCACATTGATAGACGTTCATGTAGACAACAACAACAAAGAATCTAATGCATCTGTCAAAAGCTCGTCTATCAATCCTGTGTTGATGAATGTGTCGTCGTCACCATTGCAACCTTTAAAAACCCATAACTATTCGAATAATAATTCTGAAAATAACAATAATACTTCCCAAAGTATTGGAAGTCAACCAAATACTACAGATATCGACAATTTACTTAATCATTTAAGTGGTGCTAATGCTCAAAATAACAATTATTCGGAGAAAGATCTGAAAACTTCCAAAAAAGAGACATTGACACCTACTGATAAACAAGATAATATAAAGATTTTTAATTTCGACCGTTACGAGCAAAATAAAATGTCTAGTCAGTATGGCAGATCTTTGCGGAAAATGGACATATCTCAGCTGCATTCTATCACTACTAGAATATCCAAAGATTTCCCACCTGGTAATAATTTTTCTAATTTAGATATTCCATTAAAATCTACTCTGCCGGCAGTTGTTAATGTGTATCCAAACTTGACCCAGACGCATTTGAAAGTAAACGAAGGCAAAAAAGTGTTCACAAATGAACAAAGTACTAGTTCACTTTCAAGTGATGACAGCGCAGCGTTGTTACAAAAGCAACAGCTTCTAAGGGTCGCAGAATGGGTTGAAAAGAACTTGGAACAGCAGAACAATTTAAACGATCCCTTGGAAGATGAAGTCAGTTTTAATAACAGAGCTGCAAGAAGGGACAGCAAATTAAATAGATTGACTGAAACGTTGAACGAAATAGCGTTGAATATGCCGCATCCAGTTAGCAAGTTTGCTAAACTGTATAGCAAAGATAATGGTAATGGTAACGCATGGGTTCACAATAACGCTCATTCTAATCAAGATAAAATTGTGAAACATGCTATGGCTAATCAGAATCAGAAAGCTGTTAGTAATAATGTAGCGAAAGAAACTATATTTCCTGTAGAATCAGGTGATGCGACGGTCACTGAGGTGGGGAAAGGAGTTGCAAGCAATTGCAACAAGATGACTCAGGAAGAATATGAGTTTGGGAAACAATTGCAAGAGAGTCTTCGTTCTAATGGCGATAAAGAGATAACACCAGAAGATTTGGCAAGAATGGAGTATAATGTGAAGAAATTTTTATTGAGTGGGCCTCAATGGGTCAATCCGACGTCGGCGGGGCGGAGTCGCCGCACAAGCAGCAAAACTGAGACTGATGTATAGTTTGGATGCGAATAGGAAACCTATTTTGTGGTGTGTGTTCTTCGTAAATACTTAGATATAGTTTTGAGTAAAGCAATAGCTTCGTTTTCCTATTATAAAACCCTGGCTCTATAACTCAACGGCTAATACGATACTTATTGTTTGCATCAGTTAATAGAAAAGCAGGTTATTCAAGAGTAGACAAAATTAGATTCTGGTGATTATCTCGATGACATTATTATATCATCAAAATTGATGTTCCTATGGCTTAAGTGATTACGCAACTTGGAAAAAAAAGGTTCTTTATTATGCCGTATTTTTTACTAGTCTTTATTCATTGTTATTATTTCTTTAATTAGTTTGTTTCGTACTTCGATTTTTGATGCAATATTTTTTTCATATTTACAAGCCTATGTTATATTTTGTCTAATTATTTGAAGTAAAGTTATTTCACAATATATGAACCTGTATTTCAAGTAGGTATGCATATTTATAATGCAATAGACGCTCATGTAATTACATTTAAAATGTTTAGTAATTGATTTATATGCGAAACTAGATGTATTCAGTGTTAGAATGAATTCGTAAATATTTCATAATCAAAGGCTGCTCTTAGCTAGAAATATTAGATTAAAATGAAATTGAGCAGATAATTAGTATTGCATCAACATTGTATAAATGAGAGATACATATTTACATCACTACGCGAATTGCTGTACCGTAAGTTTAATAAATGTATTTTCAGTCGTATTTTAATGTCTATGTGGAAATTATTTCCCCTAAAGTTAATTCCAATTAAAATAGGATAGATAGATGCTTATATCATGTGATAAAATTGTTAAGACACTCATTTCATGTACAAATAATATACACTGTTTGCTGTCTGTATATCCAAAACTTTATAAATCTGCAATTGAATCTTGATATTGGTGAAATGTTTATTTCACCAACTATTATAGGGTTACTGAAACTAAGTTCATTTTATATTTTACTTATTTTTATGTTTGTAATGTGATAATTTTAATTTCCTTTTATATTTCTTAACCCTGTAATAGTGTCTGTATAACTTCATATTATTATAAATGTAACGAAAGACCATAGAGTCCAAATAAATGCCGTCGAATATTCGATTATAGGTACATATGAAAAATATATAAATTATATCTACTACATAACTTCATTAACTAAATGTATCGGGCCTCTGCTTACACTTGTACAACACTATACAAACAAAGTTACAACACATTTGTGTCTCCTGTGCATATTTTCCTAATCGTATAACTGGATGAATATATTTTTGAAGTATTCGTTACTGTATAATGTAGGTAGGCTAAATTAAATCAGGTGGAAAGTATCAGATTCTGCAGAACTTATCAGTATTAATTTTGCCATAGGTGAACGTAAACTTAGGCTGATATAATGCTGCAATGCTTGCTATTGATTCCGTAAAGTTGCTCTGTATGACCATATCTGTGTTATAAGATAACTTGTAGTTATGGGGTAATTAAGAAGTATAGATGCAGAATTTGATATTCCTGACCTAAAGTTAGTTTGTAGCTTCAGAGCCCGCCAATATTGTGTGTTGTATCGATATTAGGCTAGAATATTGCACAAGTTAGCGTTTTAGATGTTAGTGATTGTCTACATTACGTCAACATAAGACATTCCAAACACATTCTTTTGTTGTTTCATTTGGGTATCCATCGATTTGTTTGATAAATAAAATAGTTTCAATTCTTTTCATTATTGGATCGTTTTCTTACTGGATTAATTTTAAGTAAATACGTTATTTATCTGTGATTATTGTGTTTTAAATGGCATCTGACTTATGTTGCATTTACGGGAGAATATTTTTGACTGATTTTATTGAATTATTCCAAAATTAAATTAGAGATGATGCGAAAGAACTGTCAGATCTAAAAACGCAATGAGAGGTGTTTTTTACCATTTATAAAATATAAAATAAAATTTGTAGTAGTGCGTGAATTTAATTTCATATTTTAAATATTTAATATACATATTCGAAACGTTATTTCATTTTTATACTCTATTTATACGTGCACAAAAAAGCTATTTTCGGTTATATTCTAAGTGCACAAATGGCGTTATGTCATGCTACGGTATAATGTTTCTACCTGAGAGCAATTTTATTATATTTAAATAATCAACGTTTGACGCTATCGCTACCAATATACCGATTTTAAACTGAATTGTCACTCAAATTAATGTATTAAATTTTGTTTAATAGGCTATCCAGCAAAATAAGAAATACCTACATACTGTACTTACATAATGAAGAGACAGAAACGGATTAATAATATTGTAAAAGAAAATCTAAACTTGTTTTTTGTAATTCTTGTGTAATATAATTTTCTCGTGCACTTATCTTTGTAAGTCTGTAGGGCGTTTTACTGTCTGATGCCTACGTTCGTTTTCTGAAATGTTATCTTGGTCAAAACTTCTCCACTCGACTCTTGTATCAAATTCCTCTTCAGATTGCAAGTGTCATTTTAGATAGGTATATCATTGCTGAATGCCGTCCAATGTCATCTTTGTACTTTCAGATAACTGAAAAGTAAAGTTGAATTTCAGATTAGCAAAAAGAAACAATGATTTTTGAAATTGCGATAACTAATTGTCACGAAACGAACGTTTGCGCCCATTTTTATATACTTTTTGCATTGGTCTCAGTTGGGAATTTATAGCGCATAAGTTTATAGTTACTGTAGAGAACATTAATTGCATTTGCTATGGCTGGGCCCACTAAATATGTAATAGTAGCTTCAGCAGAATGTAAGGATTTATGTGATTATTTATTATTAAAAACATCTATAATAAAAGTTATTTTTCATTTATGATTCCATTAAAATAATTCTACCCCGTATAGGTATTACAAAAATGTGATGGAATAGGACTACTCACTACAGTTATTGAATCAGTCTATGAAAATAAAGACGATTCGTGATTTTCACAAAACTTTACCGAAACAACATTCTTTCTCTAGATTGATTTGCTATAGAGCCTTGTACCTCGTCCCATAAGGTCTGACACAAGGGTTGCATTGCATAGCTCATAAAGTAGACCTTGAAAACAATGCAGTAGGTACATTTTTGTTGCAGGTAATTCTTTCAAGTAGCTGCATAAGAATATTGCGTTGTCTGTATAATAGGAAATTGGATGTTAGTTTTTTTCGATTAGGGCTAGTTACACAATTGCGTGTCCATCGACGCGTGTAACAAGTTATCTGCTAACTAGCAGGAAGGGCTTATCGTGGATCGGCGACACTTGACCTTCACATTTCCAAAATGTGCCCGCGCGCTATTGTGTACGCGGCCTTGCGTGGTCCAGCCATTGTTAGTCTTCAATTTTCGCGTTTACATACAATTTCACCTTGGATGATTTACAATTAGTTGATTACTATTTTTATCTTGTACGCCCGATGTAAACAATGGGCTGAGCCAGTACTGCTGCGTATAAGGGTAGGTAGGATTAAACACTTTATTTCCGCAAATAAGAAGTATAATAGCCCTGTTCTTAGCAGGTCCTATTGCTCTTGTGAAAATGAACAACTGTCTTTTAATTCTCTATCTGTTGTTGACATGTTTATGCACATGCGGTGAAAGAAATGTAAGGGCGGAGCTGAAAGCTAATTTAAGCACATGGGCGGTTTCTCGCAGTTACTTATAAATAAAAAATGAAAGATTTACGCGAGAAAGTGTGCCATAGTTTCTAGGCTTCACCTCTTTACCCTCGCAGAGCTCACTGCGCGTGTAATGCCCTTTTGCAGAATATTCTGAAAGCTTGCTACATCCAAAGATTAGTGATGGCAAGCTAACGAGCTGAGATGGATTAGAAATGTAACAGGAATGCCATCGCATTCTTTGTCGGAAGTTAATCTATTGTAAGAAATATTTCCTAGGTGCGCGGCGTCAATTGGTCCGATATTGCACGGTGGTGCGAGTTACGGCGTAATGCGGCCCGTGCGCGGTGAACGACCGTGCGATTCGCGCCACGCGACAGGTGGTCGCGGCCGATGGTGGTGTCGCTAGATACTAAAATACAAGGGGGCTTAAATCACTCCAGAGAGAGAGGGAGAAAGAGAAGATCGCTGAAATACAAGGGGCCTAGAAAAAAAAGAAGTTTTCATTTCATCAAAAAAATTCATTTCGGAGAGAACTACGGCGGAGCGTAACGATTTCGAATTTACAAGTGTCACATTGTAACTGACTAGACACCATGGTCCAAGTCATGATATTTTATTGGTTTTGTTTACCACCACGGGAAAGCTATCTAGCCTAATGGAAAGTGATGATCCGAATTGCGAGCTTCACCCGGAAAACACAAATGGGGCTGCCTGGCTACTTTACCTCAATTGCCGAAATATGCAACAATGCTGAGAACGTTGTTGCGTTGGCGATAGACATAGGTCTTATTGATCCCCGTTTGGAAAAGGATTAAGATTCCTTCTTTATGGGATAAAAATTCATTTCAGCTTAGGTTTTTCAGCACGGTAAGTATAGAAGAGCGTGTTAAAAAATCTTTTCCTTCTCATTATATCGAATGATCAGAGAATAGCCCACTGCAAGGCTGTGTAGTTGACGTTACCAATTCCAAGATTATTCAATAGACTCCCTACAAGCGTTCCGTCAGCTATGCTCTTTATTCATTGATTGATGTCATTAAGTTTATAATTTCCGCATAGTTCAGGATAATTCACAATAGATGCAGAGATATCATGACAGATTAGACCTCACCTGTGGAGGTGAAATGTATCGATTTGAACAGTTCTGACTAGTGGACCATGGTTTGTTTTTCCTTTCAGGTTTTCCAAGATAATATATTCACTTAAGTGTACTGGGTGGGAGTCAACTAAGTTATTTTTTATTTTTATTCAAGTATTCATGAAGTAATATTCTATTTGCAAGGGATTTTCTTGAACAATTTGGATTTGGGAATGAAAGGTATGATGCATCAAATCGAAACCACAAGTAGGTAGGTACCTAAACGTGTGGATCTTGCTCGGGCTCTTAAACAAATGTCTCTATTAGTAGCTGTTTTATTATTCTGAAGAGTTAACTTTATTAATTTTAAATTCGAGATCTGTTTCTTTTGGTTGAAGATTCATTTTCATTCGCTTGTCCTTCGCATCCGATAACATCAAATACCGTCCACAAGTTTAAGATGCTAATGTGAGTTAATCCGTGACGTAAATAAAACAATAGAGTAGGAACTCGTCACTCAAAACAAAAGAACTCATAAAAATGTCTTCTCAGCATTATGTCACTGTTACGAGTTGAACCCGGGCACTTGCATCGTAAGCGCACGCAACTGGCCTTCTCACGGTCATAGGTTGGCGACCAAACACCAGCGTACCGCTAGCAACCGGTAACGGCGATTTAGCCACACACTACCGAAACACGCACGGCGGAAAACGATTATCGATGTTTAGAATCGGTGCGGTAATTTTCTGCATTCAAAGTCGATTATCTGACCGTAAAGGTATCACTTGCTCACCCTCCAAATCATAAGTACCAAACGAAGTTTCCGATTTACACTGACGATATAGCATTGGGCTTGTGGTCTTAGGTACTCCTGAACCTTAATCAGGATACCTACTTTTATTTTTCGACGACATGTTAATCCTAACTTTGAAATCTTTAGATCGTTTTTTTTGGTTTTGGCGAACCTTGACAAATGTTATGCTTTGAGCGATCCTGTGGGTCTAGACAAAGTGCAAATTATAATCGCAAACCAGTCGAAAAGTGGTCGAAAAGCCCCTTTTTTGTATGGAGTTTTGACGGATTCGATTTTCGATTCGATCAAAAAGTGCGTTTTGTCTAGGGGGGCTGGACATAGTAAGAGTCGCTCTACAAAATAATAAGTAATATTTTTAATTCTGTTAGATAAATTCGACTCTACCAATGAGGATAATGACCGTCTCAAAGGTCATTTTGGCGTGGACAATAGAAATCTTAAGTCGATACTTAAGAAATCCATCGGTACTTTTCAGCAAAGCAGACAGATTTGATTTGTGTCACACTTCTGATGTCATTTCTCCTTAGTTTGCTGGACCGTTACGGCGCTACTATACTTAAAATACCATTAAATTTTTACAATAGCTTTTATTCGCAAGAACAGTAATGTGAAAAGTACTTTATCGGCTCTACGCTTCGTGACAAGTCTGGGGTTAACAGTTTGCACGAACATTTTCTAATAGTGTGTGATACCTATCATCAATGAAAAATAAGTAAAGGAATGAAGTTAGATATCAAAGAGGAATCTTGAGTAAAATAAGAAACAAAAGAGGAAAATACTTAATTAGTTACTTTGACTTTTTTTTTGGATCCATGCTAGCTAGACTGGGCGAATGAAGAATTTTGTGTGGATTTCAGCTAGAAAAAATTCAAATTAAGCTAAGGAAAATAATCACCAAATGATTTACCTTAGCTTCAAAATAATATGACATACTTTTTAAGTTTTCTCTTGGAGAGAATAGAGACTGCCTTTTATGGAACATGAGTCCCATTCCCATATAGGTGTGTCTGTGCAAAAATCCTAATAAACATTGGTAAAAGATATTTGTTGTGCTTTTTTCAGTTTTTCGATTACGTCATTTGTTGGTCATGACTTCACCCTTGACCCTCGCACCGTTACCATTGTCATTTTGCACAATGAAAAGTGCACAGCCAAAGCACGTAATTTCCACATTATAACATGCTGTCACTGACCGCTGCCCTGCATAACGTAACTTGTAATAGTTAATCACGGGGTCCGTTTGACAAATTCCAACGCAACTCCCGTAATACAGTACTTTATTGGACAAACAAATTGAATTTGTGGAGAATCAGAGCGGCGATAAAGTGTGAAATACAAGGCTTTTCGCACGGCACCGGCTACGTGCCTTGTCGCGCGGTCAGCGGGCCGCGCTTGCTATTCCGCTGGCGCTGATTATCGCGCGGCTAGGGAAATTATGCTTGACGTTTTTGTTCCATATCCGCGTGTACTGCAGCTAAATAATAAACGGTGAACAATCACTTTGCATCAGATGGTAGAAAATAGATTTGCAAAATCTAAAACAGGCCTAAGAAGAACAGCATAACTGGCATAGTGGGTAAGTAAGTATATTTCAGTAGTTTTCAGATGGTGTCGAGCAAGATCTGTTTTATATTTTTGTAACTACGCAACAGCTTTTTGCCGCTGTTTATCAATCCGTATGTATTTATTGCAAAAGTAAGATCATTTCTTATCCAGCAGAAAGCTTGCTTTAAGCGGACTATTGTTGTCACAATGAACAAAAACAGTATATTCTCCTCAAGAGCATTTAGCGGGAGTCTCTACTATTGAAGATAGAGTTTGCCACTTGGCTTGGCAAAGAATTCTCACGTAAATCTGCTATCTTAAATTCATATCCAAGGAAGAGGCAAGGAAGTAGGCTATGTGTAAGTAAGAACACCTCTTACAACTTTTATGGCATGGCTTATACCTATTAGGGAACCTTAATTAAAAACATTAATGTCAATCTGGCTTATGGTGTCACTCAAGTGTGTCAGTTTGTTAGTAATTGTTTGTTTTATTTGTGTAATTTTCAAAATCAAACGTAATCAGTATAAAATAGCCCTATAAAACAATTTGAACCGTAAACTTTTATGTAATAATTGTCGCAATTAGAATCAAGCAATTGGTGTTCTAATTGTACTTGAATTTAATATCGTCACGGTCACCTGAACATGTTGGAGCAATAACACTAGATTTATGAATGATAAATCAGGCAAATTATGTAAGTTATCTAAACACATAACTATTATACCCATCACAGAAAACGTTTTACTGATATACTTACTAATTAGAGCACTGCAATTGCAACGATTACATAGATTTTCACATAGGTAGGTAACCTGTCCTCCTCAATAGTAAATATTACCTACATATACACAAGTCTCATAATTAATAAAAACAATTCGTGGACTAGAGTAGAGTCGAACTATCCCTCTTCACATAAAATCGTAGGACTAATGAGAAAGATAAGTTTCGCTAGTTCTAGATAGCGTAGAAATGCTTATTAGTAGAACAAGTGGGAACAAAGGAGCTTTTAGTGTAGCTAGCCCCATCTCTACTCACGTCTCATGCCTATATGAAGACGTTCATGGCTTCTCCGTCCGTCTCAGCCAAATGACGTCCACTGCTGGACAAAGGCCTCCCCCAAGGTTTTCCACAATGAACGGTCCTGCGCTGCCCGCATCCAAGGTCTTCCCGCGACCTTTACCAGATCGTCGGTCCATGGCTTCTCACGATGATTGAAACCAGGCTTGTTACTGCCCACAATAGAAGAAATTTTCAATTTTTCTGAAGGAAGTAGGTAAGTAGAGTTATTTGTAGCTGAATGGCCTTGGCACTTAAAGTATGTTTTCCTAGATTGTGTAACCTCGTATGGAACCAGAGCACCTTTGCACCCTGCACGCGCGCGTCGTCCGCAAGTCTGACGCGCCCAAACCACAGCAGGTGCAGGAGTCCGACAAATGGCGGCGGCAGTGCGGCTGCATCCGCACCAGTGAGAAGCTGAAGAAGATCCTCAAGTCCTTCCCAGCGGCGCCACCGCCCTCGCCTTCAGTTGTAATTTGATGTTTATTTCTTTGTAATACGGTTCTCATGGCTAAGCATTGAGGCCTAATGTAGAAGGGTAGTTAACACCACCAGCTGACGTACTTTCTATGAGCTGGTAAAACGCGATACGTAGGTACAGATGCAAATCGACGATGTCACTATTTTACCAACTCAACTAACAAATCTTTAATTAGTACATTTAATTGAAAACTTATTAATCTTTAAAGGATTGAAATTGTTATTTGTGCTGTTAACTAATACATGATAAAATTCCCTTATTAAATCAACTTTTTGTCCCAGGAAAATATTTCTAAGAGATGCATTAACAGTTTCGGACTTGGGGGCAAAAAAAGGGTGAGTTCTTTCACGGGAAATCACTCAATTCAACATAATTATAGTTGAAAGTTTATCCTTAATTAATTTATTTAAGTTTATCTGTTCCTTTCAATATCAAATAATATATTACAGTTTGAGACCACCTGCATATCGGCATATTGCTCAGAATCATCGAAGAACCAACCACTGCTTCCTGCGCCTACGCAGGGCACGCAGGAGTCAAACCAGTCAAAACTACCCGAAGTTGGATCATACGCCGAGTCTAAACTGGTATGGGAATTTTACGAACTTATAAATTTTTCATTTCATACCTACTATAACAATTTTTAGCCTAAGCAGGAACTTTTTAATAGTTAACTGAAAAACGATTACCTACCTTAACGACGCTCAGGTTGTTTTACTTGTTGCACGGACTCCAATTTTACCTTAGCATATTAAAATTTACACGGACTGGAAATGACGTCTAAATCTAGATAAAATTCGCTGTAGATAAGACAAAACAAGGTCGTTACTTAAATATTATTCCGGTATTTTGTCGAAAGAATCAGAGTTCTAGTTTTGCCAACTTTTGTAATTACGGTGTTTTCTTTTGATTATCACAACTTTTTTTCTCTAATATTTGCCATTCATAGTTCCCAGCTTGTGTCTTGCTAAAATAAACCTAAGTACTAAGCTTTCAAATTAAGGATAATAGTGGGTTTAGATAAAGTTCATGTCTTTCTCAGTTAAACAGTGCGGTAGTGATCGATCACCTAATTGGTACTCCTTGGTGCGATCGCCAAAACGCTTAGTTAGCCGACTGAGTTGGGGTTCCTGAGTTGGGTTGGGTTTCCTGAGCAGGGTTGTCAAAGGGTGCTGTGCTGATTTTGATTGTAGTGTAGGTACCTACTAGATATTTTGAAATGTTACATACATACGTTAACATTAAAACACTCCTTCATACGTTGATTTCTTGTTTAGTTTAGGAAATAGTATATCTTTACATTCTTGTTGATTAATTGCCATTTTACTATCAAATCATTTAATGTTATGTCTCTTTAAGTAAGAAATTATTTTCTTTGTAATAATTGCTACAGATTGCTACTGTTTTCACTAGAGCAGCACGCCCTTATTCGAGGAGGGCTTGTTAATCACTTAAATATCGGTAGGAAAAAATAAAGATGACCTAGTTAGCCTAGGAAAAATATATTTTGAGGCTACACAGGTAAGGAGTTGTTTTATTATTACAAATCGATTGGCAACCATAGCAGTGGTCACTATCGGCCATCGGTCGTGCTCGCGCGATACATCACTTGTCGTTACTAAGGAATGTCTTGCTTTCCTCTTGTTACCGGCTTCGGTCCCTTATCCGTTAACGCCTGTACAGGTACAGCACTGGCGGATTTCGCGAAATATTGATGCACGGTTCGAGATGTATTAGTAATTTATTACGAGGGCTGCACTAAAAGTATCGGGAATGGAATATTTCCACTGTTCCTGTCATATTAAAATCTATTTAATTGCAAACTCCAGGGTTTTTAAAATCGTATACCATTTATTTATTTAAAAAAAGATTCTCGGTCGTATCACAAGGTCTTGTCAAACTTGTTTAGTCGTTGAGAAAATGGATTGACTCGAGAAAATTCAAGAGCGATGATTTATTATGACTTTTGAAGTGGTTTAACACAAAAACAGTGTGTTGACCGGATGATTTCTGCATTTGGTAATGAAGCCCCATCCAAAACCACAATTTATCGCTGGTTTCCTGAATTTCAACGTGGACGTGTCAAGTTCAGTGATGATCCCCGTCAAGGTCGTCCAAAAACTGCAGTCAACTAAGAAAACGTCGATGCTGTGCGTAAGCTGATTGAAGAAGATCGACATGTGATATACCGCGAAATTCAGGCAACTTTAGACATTGGCATGAGTCAAATACAAATAATCTTGCATGAACAATTAGGTGTAAAAAAGTTGTTTTCCCGATGGATACCGCATTCGCTCTGTGAAGAGCAAAAAGCGGCTCGCGTTACTTGGTGCGTCAGAACTCTCGGGAGATTACATGCAGGATCCTCAAATGCTGTATACAACATCGTATCAGGTGACGAATCCTGGATATACGCGTACGAACCCGAAACAAAAAACCAGTCACGAGTTTGGGTGTTCGAAAATGAGTTAAAGCCAACAAAAATTGTTCGTTCATGGAGTGTTGCAAAAAAAATGGTGGCCACGTTTGTCTCCAAAACCGGCCATGTTGCGACTATTCCTCTTGGGGGACAAAGAACGGTTAATGCAGAATAGTATGCTAGCATTTGTTTGCCACAGGTCGTTTCTGAACTCCGTAAAGAGAACTGCAACCGCCGCATCATCCTCCATCACGACAATGCGAGTTCTCACACCGCGCACTGAACAAAAGAGTTTTTAGAGCAAGAAAACATAGAATTATTAGTCCATCCGCCGTACAGCCCCGACCTAAGCCCTAATGATTTCTATACTTTCCCTAAAATAAAGAATAAATTGCGTGGTCAGAGATTTTCATCACCTGAAGAAGCTGTGGACGCCTACAAAACGGTCATTTTGGAGACCCAAACTTCCGAATGCAATGGTTGCTTCAATAATTGGTTTCGTGTATGGAAAAAATGTGTCAAATTTCGCGGAGAATACTTTAAAAAGCAATAAATACATTTTTAAATAGTAATGTTGTTTCACTTCCTTGATTCCCGAAATTTTCAGTGCCGCCCTCGTATCTCCGTTTAGTTATTGGGAGACGACGTTGATTAATGTCTACCGGAAAAGACGCAATGGAATATGCACTTCAGTTTATTTATTACAGCAAAAATATAAAGGCTATGATTCTTTAAATGGAATTGTTCCCAGCTCTTGTTCCCATCGTTGCGACTCCTGTATAACCAGGATACAGCTTGATCGCTAATAACGACGTTATGTATGACTCTACCTACAAGTGGTCAGTTTGTTTTTCATGTAACTGATAATCACAATGAAAAATGCTTACCTACTGAAACTTTTTAGGTTTTTATTAAAGTCGCTTTGACTTGTAGATTTCAGGCCTCAACCGCTTAATAACATGCAATGTTTTAAATGCTTTTATCTTTTGACTATGTCGTGTAGATATTACGATATTTTGTCATATCAAGCATAGTGATAAAGTGCAGTCTCTTCGTTAGCAACGAAGGTGCAATAGTCGCTAGTTCGCCTGTTCGTGAAGCCGATACGATCGTAGAGTCGCATCGTGCTGCGCGCCCACCGCGGTTCCCAGGGGATATCGATCTAAACTTAGGACTTGCTTGCGTAATCTTGGATTGTGTAACACATGTTGTGTAACGTTCTTTAATGACCCTTAAAATGCCGTAAATTTATAGGCGACGATCGCGGAGCTGTTAGCGGCGGGATCTAATTTTCTATTGTCTGCTTAGTCGTGAAGATATAAAACTGCGCTTTATTTTCTGAAATTATGTTTCACTTGATCCTAGATATGAAGCTGAAGATGCAATAAAAGTGGAGTTCAAGGCGGCATCGCCACCTTTACAATTAAAAGCAACCACAAATCTACGAAACAATTGCAGATTTGTGGTCTTGCAGTTAAGAACTGGGTGGAAGAATAGGGCACGTTTCAGTGTTTAGTGCAGCGAAAGATGCATAAAGTACCTAGGTCCTCAGACTGCAACCTAATTGGCGATTTGGCTCTCGGCTAAACGTGGTTTGCGTGACCTCCACCCTGGACTGAGAATCAGGGGCGAGCAGTGAATAGACAATTTAGCCTGTACCAATTTGCCAGGTAGGCGGCAAGCGGCGTTATAAGTACTGAAGAAAATCTTTGATTGATACTGTATCAGTGGTCTACCTATGCTTGCCAATGCCAAAAAATCTAATTCCGATGGGAAAATATTGAAGTTGGGTGACAGTGTCAGTGCTTTATAAAAGGACATTACCCGTTTTAGTGTAATGAAGGCAGACACACAAAAAAGTGTGTCCGTACCTTGAACTCACCTTTGGTAGAGACACGCAAGTTATACTCGTATTATAGACCCAGCAGGTGTATGCAGCGATAGTAAGGAATCCCAAAAAATAAAGGTAGTACTTTGATACCTACATTTGTATCCATTTTATGGTTTCATATTATGAGAAGTATGTATAACAATGGATAAAATGTTCGGTACATAAGACGCGCAATCTCTTTGGAGCCCTATTACGCCCAAACAATTTGGCTTGCACATCGCGATCGTATCTAGAGGTCATCGTTGTAACAACGTAAAATAAAGATTCACTCTTTGTTTCTCGTTTACAATGTTGTACTCAGATATTAACATCCTATTTGGAATTTATTTTGAGCGACATTGCTCTAGGTAGACTAATACTTAACTAATTGCTCTAGGTATTGTGCTAAAAATTATCAAGAAACATTACGTAACACCAACAAGATAGTCGGAAATATCCTAGTAGGTATCTATTGTTGAAGCATCAATGGACAGCCAATTTCAAACTAGTGTGTGTAAAATGATATACCAGTACATACTAGATCGAACTAAACATAATCACTGTAATTAAGTTGGCAAGGCTTTAATTATTTATGTAAACAGAAGATACCAATCGATAAGCTTTCGTAGGATGGAGAAGCAGACTGAAGGCTTTTTACAAACGGATCATTTACATAATACCGAACCTTGTTAACTGAGGTTTCCGACGCATAATGCCCGTGTTAATGTTTAATTAAGTTGTGATTACGATCTCTAGGTTAAGACCAAGTACAGTTTAAATGTGTTTTGTTAATCCAAATATTTGTTCGACTGGCACATCCTGAGCAATGCTGTAATGTGCAATAAGGAAGCGTTGTTATATTTACTTAGGGGCCGTCCATATATTACGTCATTCTAAATTA